TTGTCTCAGAGAAATGAGAGATCATGAGACATGTCAGGTGACATTTTCCGGAAAATTCCGATCGTGATTTTAGCTAATAAGCACTTAGAAACAATTTCGCTGCTAATGTGCAGAATCGCCCACTTATTTGTTTGGCGCTTTTTACAAGAGTAAGAAGAATTGGATTTTTGTCAATTTTCTTTGACTTTTTAAGTGAAAATAGGTCGATGTGTACATGGATAAAGTCAAGAGTGTGCGCAATGCCATTTTTGTGCAATTCTGGGATGTTTTTTTAAGTGAAAATAGGTCGACGTGTACATGGGTACCGCGCATGTGCAATTCTTAAAACGCGCGAAGCAGTGGACGATTCTGCACTTTCTCCCAATTTCGCACCTAATCTTCGTCATGATTAAGCACTTTTGTTCCATAAAAGATCTAGCATTCGGCTAGCAGATTGTTGGAAAAAATGTTGAGTTAAAAAAAAAAAAAAAAAAAAAAAACTAGCAGATTGCTGTAGCAGGGTTGGTCGCCAACTTTTCGCCAAAAAATCGCCAAGTTACCATTCGTGGCAGATTTACTGCATATGATGCCACACTTAGTATTAATGTGACAATATTAATATATAGGGATAATATTATGGAGCGCCTCAAAATATTTACAGCGGTAATTTTCATCTTTGTGCTGTTAAAATTGATTACAATTGATATACCTGTTCTTTTTTTCCCGTTTTTTGAAAATATTTCTTCTCAGGAATATTTTGGTGTGCCACGATAAGGGAATGTAGAATTACGTTTTAAAATCCCGTGGAGTTCATTTAAAATTCCGAGAACACTTCAAGTAATGAGATTTCTAGGAAATGAAAGTCCTTTAACCTAAGTCCCTTTCTGTTTTCTCTTGAAAAAGCATAGTGATTTCAAGCAGTTTTTAATTAACATCTTTTAATGATTATCTAATGTGTTTCTTGAAGACTGTGTTATCAAAACATTTTAATTTTGTATTTATATTTGTAAATATTGGAATTGAAAATTTTGAGGAAAAACATCCTGCTGGATTTTTAAAAATTAGCTTGATCTTTTGATTCGTATCTATGTTTGCTGCGAATTGCTTCGTAAGTAACTTTTTCTTTTTTATTCCAAGAGAGTCTCAGTATTGGCTGTACACATATACAGTAAGCGCGCAAAAATAAATTTTATGCAATATCTGCATACTTAGAGACAACGTTATTTCGGGAGATTAATAATTATGACATCCTAATTCTTTGCGAATAAACTTCATTGTTTAAATCAGTCTTTTAGTTATTTTATTTACAATCTAAATTTCAGACAAAATATTAAAATTTATGTAAGCTGTTCAAGTATTACTAGACATTTTTATTAACAAGAAAAGCTTCTACATTTAAAACAGTAAATTATTCTAACTGAAGTTTTCTTCATTAGACTCTCAGTTTGTACCTAAAGAAAAGAGTCCCCTTTCAAGTTCCCTTCTTTTTTACACCTTCACTTTTTTTAAGCAGTTTTGAGTTTTTTCTGTTTTGAGTTTTATAATGTGTGCTTGTGATAATGAACGTCTTGGATGATGTGGCGACACACCTTCTCAAAGCTCTCCCCCCCTCTTCTTTCATCATGGGAGGTAACGCTTTGGACTATGCTAATTTTTCTTTCTTCCATTTCTTCTACTTTTAAATCTTGCATTTTTACTCCGGACATCTTGCTTCTTTTTTATGGGAACTAGCAGCCTGTTTTTCTTTGCAAATCCTTTAGTAAGAAGTTTAATTTAAAATAAAGATTTCAAGAGCTAGCTTAACATCACTGGTGTTACTCATAAATTCGTGGCTACTGTACGATTGAGTAGGTCATTATGACTTGTTGATTCCCTTTCAAAAGTTTTGCTTTCCAAAAACCTCCAGAAAAACACATAGTGGATTAAAGGCAGGTGATGGAGAAAAGCCATAGCCTATAATATTAGTTCCAAATTTAATTCTTAAAAAATCCAGTGACTTTGAGGATTATGTTTTCTGGAGTACTATTATGCTTTAAACCACTATTGGCAAATACTTTAGTGAGGCATTTTCTTGTCAGAACCGATACAATGGTCCATTTAATATTTTAAATTTAATTTACGTGTACTTCTAAAGAGCTTAAGTACGATTAAAAATGAATGGCCCATTCAGAATTTCGTTTCATAATCGGCACTAAACAGTTATCAATTTTAAATCTTATTAAGGAATGTTACACATTAGTAAATCACTAAAATGGATCATTGAATGACTTTAAATCGAAACAAAAAAAGACTTCCATTTGTCATAATTAATTTTTAACTGACTTTTAGAGGAAGGCAATTGTTCAAAAAAAAAAAAAAAAAGGGGGGGGGAAATAATATAGTACACTCTAATTACAAATATTTCCTACCCGGAACTGAGACAGATGTCAAATTCTAAAAAGAAGATTCCAAATCTTTCATTTAAATTCAAATTTATTAATATTTACATCTGAAACCAAAACGAAAGCTACAACTCAAAAAACAAATTCATTTAATACAGATAACATTTCCACACAAAAGAAAAACTAATCATTAAAAGTCTCTAAAATTACATCTTGTTCAAGAATGACGTCATATTTCATGGAGCTCGTAATAATTTTTCCTTTAAGCAATAAATTTGATTTTCTAACTGTAAAATCCTTAAACATTAAATTTCTGGGTCAGTTTTTGTTGTACAGAAGGCAAAAGTTTTGTATTTTACGTTTTATAACAATAATAAAATTTTCCTAAATATAAGTATAAGGACCGGGAGAGTAATATAAGTTGAATTATAGTCATATAATTATACGAAATATTATATAATAATTATTTCCTAAATATAAGTTGAATTTTGTAATTTTTACAAAACTAATTTTTAAAACTTTTAAATGACAATGCATGACCATATGCTTCATTTAAAGGACTTTTAAAGGCAAGGGGAAGGTGATGTCTATCACCAACGGTTGCGAAACTGAAAGCCTAGTAAGGACTTTGTGCACTTGATGTAAATATATATATATATGGTAACTTTAAACAACTTCAAACTGCCCTCATTTTGCGACTTAGTAGAGTATAGTTACGTTTTTAGAACAGGTATGGGCTACCAAAAAAGCAAAAAATATCATTATCAACGAACTGTGTTAATGTTGTATCTCAAATATATTTCTAAATGGCACTCCGTTACAAATTTTGGAAGAAATAAACATGTTTGATGATCCAGTTTGCATTTCATAAATTCATTAAATGGTTTGGATTAGTTATTATGTTTGTATATTGGTCATCTCGTTAGTTGAGTAAGAAAACTAAATTATTATTTTTTATGTAAAAGACTCATATTAAGTTGGCAACATAGTTCAAATGATTTTCGTTTAAGTTTGTCCGCTAAGCTCTATGTTTTCTTTCTTTTACAATACTACTCCTAATAAAATCAGTTAGCGATCATAATGATAGTTAGAGAAAAAAACTGTAAATCAGAAGAAAATGCTTGGCTTTCTGTATTAAAAAAATGCTTGGTACATCTTACAGTACTTAAAAAAAAATTTTATCACAGGAACATACTTTCCATTATAAACATTCTTCAGTACAAACATTCATGCATGCTATCTAATCACATTAATTATAAAGCGCAATGCGTTGTTAAGTTTCATGCATTAACATTCATGCATGCTATCTAATCACATTAATTATAAAGTGCAATGCGTTGTTAAGTTTCATGCATTAACATTCATGCATGCTATCTAATCACATTAATTATAAAGCGCAATGCGTTAAGTTTCATGCATTAACATTCATGCATGCTATCTAATCACATTAATTATAAAGTGCAATGCGTTGTTAAGTTTCATGCATTAACATTCATGCATGCTATCTAATCACATTAATTATAAAGTGAAATGCGTTGTTAAGTTACTTGAAATAAATTTTTATCCTCTTTTTCTGTTTACTGCTTTTAACTGTTTTACTGCTTTTAAAATTATATGAGAATAAAGTCTGATAGAGCCCATCATGTTATGCAAAATGTTGCATCCCTCAACATAGCAGCCCCTATGAAACAGCTCCTTGTAACGGCATTTAGTCCGGAGCTACTGATTGCATATTTAATAAGTGCCTATGTCTTACTCCTTGTAACGGCATTTAATCCGGAGCTACTGATTGCATATTTAATAAGTGCCTATGTCTTACTCCTTGTAACGGCATGTAGTCCGGAGCTACTGATTGCATATTTAATAAGTGCCTATGTCTTACTCGTTGTAACGGCATTTAGTCCGGAGCTGCTGATTGCATATTTAATAAGTGCCTATGTATTACTGCCCGGCTTTTACGATTACTTATTTAAAGTCCCTGGGGTTTTAGTTATGTGGCTATTTGAAGTTCGGGGTTTAAATCAGTTGTCTGTCATTATCACAATTAGAAAATGTTATTAGCGACGAAGTTATTTCCTTGCTGCCGCATATTGTTTAGTGCATGGGGAAATGGCGCTTACAAAATGTGATTTCTCGTAATAAAGGACTCATTGAACACTTGACAGTATGAAAAACTGTGTATTGAAGAAGTTTTACAATGTTCAAGCGAACGTTCTTTCGTTAAACGTTACCTGAAAGGATAACATTACAGAAACATTCTATATAGGCAAAAAATAAACGTTTTTGTTGTTGCTCAAACATATTTGAATTCACTCCATAAATTTTGGTACAACAGCATCTTATGTTAAATCATCTATGAATTATTTTAAAAAGTCTATTGATGTTTGTTGCCTCCTGTACTTAATTGCTGCAATAAAATTGAAGAGCAATTATTTTCCTGCAAGCTATAGAAGACAAATGTGAAAAGTGTGATGTTCAGTAAAATATAAAGTTACTTAAGTGAACTATACAAAACTGTGAGCACTAGAATAAAATATTTGTGCATGTGAAACTTATAAGTAAAAGTCTTTATCAGAAATTCATTATTAATTCTTATATGTGAAAGCCTTTATCAAAAAAATAAGTAAATACAACAAGTAGTCATTGAGGTATATAGCACCCAATTTATTAAAAAATGCTAACATAAAAGATACATCAGACTGCATTACTCCGTAGACATTACAGACGTTATAAGTAAGAGAATTATAATTCCAAAAACATAAAAGCCTACACGATCAAAAAACATAATGTGTTTTTCCCACAGACATTTAACTTTTGCCGTTTGTTCTGAAGTGCTGTTGTTTACATCCTCTGTTTCTTTTGAATTTTTTCCTTCTGAGTCTGCTAATTCAGAGAATAAAAAAGCTTGGTCTAAATTGATATTGCTGTCAGGTTCTGGACGAAGACCTAGCAGTACCAAACTCCAGTTAGGAATCTTGGAAATGATCGTTGCATACGCCACTGGTGGAGTCTTCAAACAGCGTGAAAGCACTGACATCGAAACAGTTTGTAGTGAAGCAATTAGTGAAAGGATCAGAGACATGGTGACATATTCCACTGAAATGAGGGGGGAAATGCACTAAAAACTAGCAGAATTTGAAATAAGCGATATAATATCTTGATGTAAGCAAATACGGTCATATAATCATCATAAATAAACAAACAGAGCTTACTTTGTAACTTCCAAATTTTCACCATCTTTACAGCAATTCTGTACACAATTTTGCATTTGAAGGATATTTTGTACGAAATTTCTATGTTAAATATCTGAACATCAATTTTATTTTAAATTTAGAAATTTTAAATCAGTTTTAGTTGCTCGGTTCTATAAAATCTACACTACAATCACTGTTATAAAATCTCTAGACCCGCAAATATTTACTTTTAATAATAATAAGTATAGTTTTTATTATGCTTGAATGAAAAGAAAAATGTCTGCTTGAATTTTAAATATCGTGGTCAGTTTTTGTCGTAAGAGTATCACACGTTTTACACTTTTCTTTTTATAATGGGTATAAAATTTTCATAAATATACCGATAAGGATCGTAAAAGCTAGATTTTGTAAATTTCAAAAAACTCATTTTTTAAATTAAAAATCGTAAAGCATGAATATTTGCGTTTAAAAAGGATTTATAACTGCAAGGCTATATCTACGACCAATGGTTGCGAAAAAAAAACCAAGTAAGGATTTCTGTCAAAACGGTATGTATACATACATACATAATAAAAACAAAAGAAAATCAAAATATAAAACAAAAACGAAACATAATATATGTAAGTTTGATTATAAAATTTCTTGAAAGAGAGCCTAAGCTTTTATTAAAAATGTTGAAAGGATTCTGTAAAAAAAGACCTAATTTTTCTGATCTTTGTAAATCAAAAATTCCAATTAATAAATACCATAAAGAATTGTGCTTTAATTATCAAAAATAAAATAGTTTGAATCTTCATATACGAAATTAGCCTAGGCAGAATGAATTAATTTATATAAATATATCAAAAATAAAGAAGCCAGCTACAAATTTAATGATGGAGGTTGTTTTCTCGAAGACGAAACTATTAACGTCAAAGCAAGTATTTTTGGTAATTTAATTAATTTGCAGTTGCTATATCAATTAGTTCTAAAAAGCTCTAAAATGTTAAACCTGAATAAATTATTTAGATGAATCAATTCTTCCTCGGATATTTTGACAGATCTTCAAAGTAGAACGTTTTGATTTTAACTAAATTTAACTAGTTAAATAATAATGAATATTTTAATAGCTAGACATTTTACTCAGTTTACATTAGTTATTATTTTACATTATTTTACATTATTATTATTATTTTACATTAGTTAGCCCAAAAGGGCTATTAATTTCGTTTTGGCATTTTGCGTTGAAAACTTTAAATGTCGGTTCACTTTTCAAACGGTTGCCACCAAATATTACAACCCTGTATTATATTTAAAGAAATTAAATAATGAATAATCTGCATAAATGTATACATGTTTTTCTCATTGTGATAAAACGACGGTACCTAGAGGTATTAAATTTTGATTAACGTACGTTTCCACCCGAATATGGGCATCTGGAAGCCCAAATTTGGAATTTGGAATTTGTTTTATTATCGATTTCATATTTTGTAAAACTTTAACAAATTTTTAACTAACAAACTCAACGATTTCAAAGCGAGCAATGGCAACAATACTGTAAGAAAAAAAAATTATTACCAGCGCTCGAGGTTGTGTATCCGAAATTCTAAAGATATGCTCATTTTAAAATTATTTTCCGATATTGCTGTTAAACTGAATTTTATGGTTTAAGTGCGAAGACCATATTTCATAAATAAAAGTAACCCACAAAACGTTCAAAAAATGCCCCTTTGGGCGTAATGTAAAATCTGAAAGCTTTCAGATTTTTTTTTTAACGGCCAGACATTTTGCTATTTAAACATTCCTCAGGAAAGGCCAAACCCATCGGTCATGTGGCTGTCTCATAACCGAGAGTTTTGTTTCGGACGCGTTACTGGAACCGATCAGCTTTACGCTCGCAAAAAAGTGAAAGCTCCACTCCAGTTTCGATAGAGAACGTTGCAAGGAATCGATCTGAAGGCCTTCCATCCCTATTCTTCTACCACCAAAACTCTTCAGAAGACTTTCAGCTGGGCAGTATTTTAAGTGACCCCATATTGCGCAGCTACTATAAAACACTGACTTTCAATATGTTGCTTTGTCAAATATATGTACTTGGCTATGCAATGTATCCCGATCCAGTTGTTAGTCTTCTGAAAGTCGAATTCTGAATGCTTTACGCATTTCCCATGTATCAGCACTTCCAGTCACACACTGATGGCTATTGTATTCTTTTATTTTTATTTCTTTTGGTATATCCTCTGTGTATTGCTGTAATCATTTACATTCATTATGTCACTATGTTCTCTATTTTTATGTTATATTAAGTCTAATTCTACTGTCTATATTTTACTCATTGTATATTATTGGGCTGCCCAACATCAGACTGTACTTTAGCTTATGTATATTCTATATTTGTGTGTATTACACCTTTTTAAAATTTTTGCTTATTGTCAAAACTCGCTCTTTTTGGCCCTGCATGCTTTTGTTATTTTATTTAATAAATGTGGGGCCTGGACGGTTGTTGGGACTGTCTTTCGTGGGCATTTGGTCTGTTGGACTGCCCCCGGGTTGAATTTGGCTCTGGGTTTGGGCGCCCGGTGCGTCGCGTCTTGTGATTCCTCTTTAGGCTCTAGATATAGGTGGACGTGGTGCTATACCGATTAACCTTTTGGTAAAGGGACAGTGCCCACGTCCTCCGTTGCTTATCGCTTACTATAAACTTACACAGACGAAACCAGCAGTATAACAGCTAGCATCGTTAAGCACTAAACCGATCAGGGCTAGGGAGATCATAGGAAAATTAGATCTATGGTGTGCGTTAAATATTATATTTTTAACAAAATCGTCACTGCATCAGTGTTGAGATCCTTTCACCTTCTGTCGGCTCTGCCATGCCTCATCTTTAAAATCTTTAATTGGAAATATATTTCTAAGATCAATATTTGAAAACAGTAAAGCATGTAGCCTAATTTTGTTTCTAATATCTTGTATAAAGGAATGTTTTTCATTATATTTAGTTTATTCATTATTTAATTTCATTATTAATTACAATGTTAGTGCATAATAATATGCGAAACTTCGCTTTACACTCTACGTTTACTTACCTATTATTGGAGTAGTGGATCCACTTATTGGCAACATTCTTCCGATGGTGAAGAGACTCCAACTGCAAACCAGCATCGAAGTTGTGCTGATACTGGTGCGTGTACTATTTCCAGCCTTCATCCAAAATGTCGTGAGGAGTAGTACAACACTTACCATACTAGGCGTTAGGATCCCTAAAGCAACCAATGGCATGGATCTTTGAATTTTCAGTCTGAAGATTCCTACTTCAGATTCGGTGTCTGAAAAGAAAAACTGAATATTAACAAGGTAAAATTATTAAAAAAGATTCGATTATGAATTTTAAAGAGGATGAAGTTTTAATTTTACTGAGTTTATACTTTTGCATTCATTTAACCGTAACAACGGAGCCTTTAGATGAAAGCAAAAGTTCCGAAGCAAATTTATGCAGTACTTGTAAAATTTTAAATAATACTATATTGGAAATTCTAGAGATTTACCCCTAAAAGAAGAATGTAATGAAAAAATAGAAGTTGAATGGTAGTAATTTCCGGGGCTCAGCATTCTCCTCTAATTAAATCAAATTAAACTATTATTTCACTAATTAGTTACAAATAAAGTACTTTTTCTGGCTTAACCAAATAGATCCTTTTACATTATATTTAAGTCCTGTCTTATAAATATGTGTAAAGACCTTACTTTATTCTAGCCAATTATTTTTAGTTTTACTTTCCTTTCCCTCCTGGTTTAAATTCCCTGCCGCATGTAAATTTTAAATGGCCTAGTATGCAAAATCTAAGTGTGTTTCAGAAACAGTATTTAAGCTGTGTTTCAAGAGTTCGAAAAGAGGTAGCGGAGTTAGCTCCAAGTTTATAATACGTTTCGAAATTAGTCTCCATTCATCATATAATTTGTAGAGATATTAAAAAAAGTTTAGCAGATAAAAATCTTATCGAAGTTATGGCATTCTAACTACAAATTGAGCACAAGTCTTAACACTATCAGATAGATATATTGACTAGCATATGACAAGAGTATATGGTACGAATGTCATGTATATGGTACGAATATGGTATACGATAAGAGCATATGGTACGAATGTCTTACACCAACTAGAGTTTCTTTATGCAACAAGTGTTTTTTATGCGAGAGATGTGAAAATGTACAGTGCTCTCGCCGAGACTCAAACCTGGATTTCTTGAATACGCGCCGAATGTGCTATCTTTACACCACGACGGCATTCAGGAAGGAGAGAGAAAATACCTTATACCCTTACTCTTTATCATCACTTACTCCATAATAATGATGATAAGAGCCATTTAAATTACTCTCAGTAGTTCTCAAGAGTTAAAAGGACATTCGTACCATATACTCTTGTAATATGCTAGTCAATATAACTATTTGATATTACGATTATTTGAAACTCTTTTTAATATCGCTTCAAATTATATGATGACTGGGGACTACGCAATCTAGTTTATGTTCGCATAACCTGATTTGTTGTCCTAGAAACAGCTTTCGAAAAGTAACCATGAAAATCCTAATTGTGCGTACTAGAACTCCCTCATACTGAAGCTACTATGCATTCATCAGGAACCAGTAGCTTTCAGATAAAACGCTTCGAGTATGACCGCGTACTATCGAGAATCCACAGAAGCTGCTTCCTTTTCAAAGAAATATGGCCGAATGCTGTCAAAACTACTATACATCCCAAATTCTGTATTACACTATTATCTTAGCATTATGAGAAGGCGTTGATGTACTTCCTTTAAATTCCCTGCAGCTTAATATCTGTAATACAGTTTATTGATGATAATAATTAACTCAACAGTGTTGTAATACAATGCTGCGTGGATGAAAGTTTAAACACTGGTGACCGTCATAGCAGAATGTAATGCAACAGGCTTTGTATTTATTCAGAGCGGCAAACAATCAGTCGTTATAAAAAAATCTGTGTTTTTTTACTGCTAAGAAAGCGGTCCTGCATAATTTTATAACTGTCTAGAAAAAGGATATGATAAATTCAAGTACTTTCGTTAAATTATATGACTGCAAGAAGAATTTAAAACAGAAGTGTGAATGATAGTTTGAATAATTAATTTAAGTCTCAATAAAATTGATTTCAGGTACATATACACACACACTGGCCAAAGAATTAGAAACCCAAGATCATGGTTTTATTGGGCCACCATTTGCACGGATAACTGCTATGATTCGTTTGGACTGTCCAAAGAATACTATGCATTGGCTACGTGGCTTTTTAGATCTTGTAAATTAGATGGAAAAGGAGAGTGCTGTCGGATTCACCACTTCCCATACATTTTCTATGGGGTTAAGATCCGGGTTATGCAGTGGCCAGGGAAGGTGTTGGATGTCAGACTGATGTTCAGCGAACCAATTTTGGACACTTCTTGGCACGATGTATAGTTGCATTATCTCCATGATGTATCCGTCTCCATCAGGGAAAAAATGGAATATTGCAGGATCTACTTGAACTGCCAGTATATCTAGATATATAACGGCTGTTTGTTTACCCTCGAGGAACACCAGGGCACCACTTCCACAGAACATGTCCCATATCATGATACTCCCACCAGACCTTGCACAGTACGAGTAAGGCAAGACGGCTTCATGGCTTCATGGGGTTTTAGCCAAATTCGATGTCTTCCATCAGTGCAAAATAAGCTGTATCGTTACTCATCCGACCACATCATCTGTTTCCAATCCTCAGATGTCCAGTGTCTTCTTCCCCGACGCCACAGCAAACGAATTCTCGGATGTCGAGAAGAAATGAGTGCTTTTCTCACAAGCCCCCGACTATGCATTCGTAGCCTCTGCAATTCTTACGGTTCAAGCTGAAATCTTTTGGCGACCTGTGCCAGATGAAGTCCATGTTCCACCGTACAATTCGTCGGAGACGACGCCGATCACTCTCTTGGAAAACTGTGCTCGAACCGAATTTACGCCTTCTAGACAAGGACTATGAGATCTGATTCCAACTTTTGAAAACCTTTGATATGCTTGCTTTTGAGAACACAGTGGGATTTCCTGCCTTCGAAATCCAGGCCTCTGCTAAACGGACACCAACAATAAGCCCTTTTTCAAATGGTGAAAGATCTGTCGTTTTCCCCATTTTACTTCATTCATCGTAAAAAGCAGGCTTACACTTTATTTATGCTAGCATTCTAACCATGTGTAACCATAAAACAAATATGCACACTTCATGCCTAGCACGCATTCAAATGAAAATCTCAAAGATTTCTAATTTATTTGCCAGTGTGTGTAGAATGGGACTTGAACAAAAACTCATCATCTGCAGAGAGGCAGCGGATACTGTGATGCTTATTTTAACTCCTTTCGGAATCCTGAATTCAAGAACGCAACTGTTTCGTAAATGTAACTTACATTGTAAACGATGTTTATGCTGAGAAACTTTTACAGTAAAGGATACTACATCTTATTAAATTTTAAAGAGTACAAGAATATGGAAAAATTAAATCTAAAGCATAGATACGTTTGAAACATTGGTAATAGAATTTAAAGTTCACTGATCGTTGAATTTCGCATGAAATATTTAAATGTATTCAAAGTTAATTAAGTTATACGATCAAAACGCAAGTCATATGTATATAATCCGTATATATTTTAGAGACATTAGGTATTTTTATAGCAGGAGTGATGAAAAATGAACAACGTCTTCGCCGGGAATCGAACCACGGACCTCTGGGATACGCACCCAGCGTGCAAACCACCACGCCACGAAGGCATACTAAGAAGGCGGGAGAAATACCTTATGTTCTTCCCCTTTTAAAGGGCGACTGGGGTTTTTAGGGGACCCAATCGCCAAATCCTGGGCGTGGAGAATCATCATCCATCACCCTTTAAGTTCAGGCGCCACTGTAGAGACATTAGGTATTTTTGAAGCAGGAAAGATGAAAAATAAGCAACGCCTTCGCCGGGAATCGAACCACGGACCTCTGAATACGCGCCCAGAGTGCAGACCACCACACCATGAAGGCATGCTAAGAAGGCGGGAGAAATACCTTATAACTCATTATTCTTTGTAATAAATCCAACTCCACATAAAAAAGTGCAAAGATGAAATGTGACAAATGAAATACGTTTTCCAAATGTATTTGCGATGGGAATGCAAAATAAAAGTATTTTCGGCATAAACATTTAAGGTCTTTGCTTCGACTGGTATATAAATCGAAGATCATCCTCGATGACAATCAAGAATTCACTTAACCATCAAAACTGGAGTCCCAAAACTTGATTGCTACTTGATAGACAGCATTTACATTAAAACTAATTGCAGTAATGAACAGATGTACCTTTCCCAATATGAAATAAACTGAAATGTTTCATTAAATTTACGAATTTTGATTTCCTTTTTTTTTTTTTCATAAGTCATTTCATTGTGGAGCCACTTTATAGGCGGTTACCATTACCTCCTATGAAGAAACAGACAATTTACATCCATGCCTTCTCCAGGATTCGAACCCCAGCCCTTAGTTACGGCAGTAAGAAAAACTAACCACTTTCCCATCTGGGAAGAAATTTATGAAAATATGCTTTGCTAAAATATCTTGTTGAAGTAAAACAATATTGTTTAAGAAATAGTTGATATTAATGGAGAAGTTAAACAGCAATATTCAGCGTAATGTTGTCCAGCAGCGTCTTGTTGTTTAACTTCTCCAATAACCGTTATTCGACGTGTTGTTTTAACCTAAATATTTTGGAAAAGAAAGGGACGAAATATTTTCACTGAAGTTTTCAGGTCCGAAACAAATGCTCTTGACAGCCCATACATTCTGAGTTAAGATAATACGGATATATTTTCTAACTATGAGTAGAAGTTTGACTTTAAAATCTCAAAGCTAGGAGTTATTTTTTTAACTAAATATCTTAAAAAAACTTACCATAATCTATTTTCCTGTTCTCTTGAATTACATCTGCCGATATGATTTGCCAATGAAGGTTTTCCGCAGAGCTTTCAGTTCTAACTTCAGCATTATTGAAGAGAATGGGCTTTGAGTAATTTATTTCAAGTAAGTCTCCCTTCGATAAAGGAAACACATAGGTTTAGAATGCAAATTATGATTTAAATATGGCTTGCACTTTTTGTTCTAATTCACACATATTTTAATTACTTTACATATATTTATGCAAACTTGTATACACTAAAAGTGAATCTATAGTGGGCCACCAATTTTCAAATTTCAAAATTCTATAGTGGACCATTCAAAAATATTCTATCTCTCTCAAAAGAGTTTCTTTCGGACACCAATGTACAAATTAAAACCATTACAAATAAAACCAGGCCATTATGTATAGTTTAACCAGGCCAGCACTGTTCTAACATAGGTATTTTGACTCAAAATCGGACTTTTCCCGAGAAGACATACTGATGTTTTTCCATATTTCGATTCTACAACTTCAAATCATGCCTAAATATTAAATTTTGTAAAATTTGATGAGAAACTTACGATATTTTAAAATTTGTCTTGCAGCACTTTTTTCAATTTGCACCAAAAATAATTCACTTGTTGAAATTAGAGATTTATGGTAACCAGTTTTTCCTTTCAATTTCTCTGTGCACTAGCGGAATAAAATGTGCATTGTTCATTCATTCAAATAATTATAACAAAGCGCGTAAGCCAAATTTGGCGTTATTATCGCTTATAATAAACTTGTCAAATTTAAAAACTCACCAATACATGCATTCACGTTTAGCTTCGGAAATTTTGAATGAAACAGTATAATGTTTTGCAGGTATATCTAGATATATGCATCTCTTTAAGGGTGTCCGCCGATAACATCGCGGCAAAAACATCGCAGGTGAAAACGTCGCGGAGAAAACAACGGAAGGCGAAAACGTCGTGCTACAAAACATAGTGGGAGAAAACATCGCAAAGAGAAAACATCGCAGTTCTAAAACATCGTGGTACAAAATATCGTCATCGAAAATAAAGCGGTTCAAAAACTTCGCAGTTTAAAAACATCGTCGTCGAAAATATCTTGGTAAAAAATAAAGTATCTACAAATCATCGCATGACGATAACATCGCAGACATGCTTTATTTTTTTCAGGCTTTAATAGTAATTGTAAATGGATATTCCTATAATGATTGAGCGCAAGATGGAAAGAAGGATAATTTTTACTTTCATATTTTTTATTAACTAATACATTTTTGCTGATAAAGTAAGAAGGAAACTTAAGCATAGAAGAGTAATGCAACTTATAGCACTTAACAGAATTTTAAACCGACATACTTAACTAACAAAGATCATTATAATTACTTAAGCTTTTACTAGTAATTTTTTCATGAAAAGTATAATCTAAAAAAAGCCTGAAAAAAATAAAGCATGTCTGCGATGTTATCGTCATGCGATGATTTGTAGATACTTTATTTTTTACCACGATATTTTCGAAGACGATGTTTTCAAACTGCGAAGTTTTTGAACGGCTTTATTTTCGACGACGATATTTTGTACCACGATGTTTTAGACCTGCGATGTTTTCTCTTTGCGATGTTTTCTCCCACGATGTTTTGTAGCACGACGTTTTCGCCTTGCGTTGTTTTCTCCGCGACGTTTTCGTCCGCGATGTTTTTGCCGCGATGTTTTCAGCTGTAACCCTCTTTAAGATGATGGCAACTATTTTATAGGTTATAATTCAATTTTTTTTCGAAAAATTTATGAAAATTACTGGAATTTTATTTGGATTAAACCTAAATTTAAAACTGTGAAAGAAGGAATCCAGTAATTTTAATAAAAAAAATATTCTAATAAATTTATACCATATTCAGTTAACACACTGAGTACCTAAAATTCTGAGAGCTAACTTTTTAAAAACTGCTAGTGCGATTGGCATAATTTAAGTCATAGAATCGAAATATGGAAAAATATTGGCATATCATTTCAGAAGAAGTCCTATTTTGTGTCAATGTTATATGTAAATCTAATAGTACATATCTTAAGTTGCGCTTTCGAGACATGAAAAATGCAGGTTGAATTTCGTTAATCGGCAAAATTGAACGGGAGATATAGAACTGTCCTTTTTTTTGGGGGGGCAAGGTATACATTGCTGTATTACGCCACGAACTGCTTTAATCTGACTAAAATACCTTTTTCAACAAGTGGACTGAGCGAATTCACTCTTGCAATGATATTTGGTAAGTTCCTTCTAGTATGCATCCTTTTTCAACCGGCTTATGGGATTAGCCAGTAACTCCATTTACAGAGACACTAACAAACTATCATAACCCGAAGGAAGATCTTTAAACTTGTTTTTAACCTAATTAACTTGCGAGTAATTTGGAATTAATTTATTTTATCGAGAACAAAGTTTATTATTGTATGGATCTGAGATTAAAATATGTATGTATCTTTAATAACTTTTTCTGTATTTTCGTTTTAATATTAATCATACCCGTAACGTTCGAATAAAGATATTGTAACAGATCGGAATATCAATTTGTCTGCACACATTAATGAAACGTGTTTCTTTTTAGTTGTCGTTTCTTTATTTTACGCTTCAATCAGTTAAAAAAAAAAAGGCAACTTTATACAGAAACCTTAGAATACTGGATAGCATGTCTAGCGAAGTATTGTGAAATATTATTAATTAGTCTTGTACGAATAAATGTATTGTACATCATAACATTTTTATACATGGCAGTCTTTAGACATCTATGAAGATATAAACTACTTTACGTTCTCATTCAGAAGTAAATTGTACAGTTATATACAGCTAGTTAAATGATAATATACAGCTTACCTCATGACTGACAGAAACGATAACTACATCACAAATCTGCGCATCGAAAGGATAATATTTGAGATTGGGTATACAAGATGTTCGCAAGACGTAACGCGGAACCCACCACACACCACCTGGCAGGACCCTTGGAAGGGGATCATTCGTCACTTCATTAGGCTCAATCCTGCGTCAAATTAATTAAATAATACATTCATTTGAAACACACTTAAAAAGACAACGGTAAAGTAAAGGAAGCATAAAAATCTGACTTCACTTTAAATTAAAGGAAGCATAAAAATCTGACTTCACTTTAGCGGACATTTATATTCGTAATAAATTCGAATCACATATTTAATTTGTTGTATAAGCTACTTGAAAAATAATACATGAAATAAACTGAAATGATAGCAGTTAATATCCGTATATGAGTCAAAATATATTGTAGAGTTTCTACATCAGTATTTAATAAAACTTCAAGAATCGAATATTAAGAAATCATCCTGTAAATGACTATAACTGATATTTCAGAAAGTGTTATCAAACTGATAGCCTGTGGTGGTCAGTTTTAACGCAAAGTTTCCTTATATGTTGTTGTTTAAACAGAAAAACGCCTGCAATTCAATACACTTAAATTTCTTTATATTAAAAGCAATATTGTTATATTCATTTTCCTTAATGCAGTGCTGTGTTTTGTTTCATTTTTCATGTTATTTTGTATTCATTGTACAGTCTTAAAGGCTGAGATGGAAAATAAACTTAAAATAATATCTCAATTAAACTTAGCTTAATTAATAATACTATTGTGTAAAATATAAAATTAGACCCAAAATACCTTATAATGATTAAGAATTTAAATAATCTCGCATTGTGCCCGAGACTCTTAACGTGTCTCGTTAACACAATAAAGAATATGGCACACTGGAAATTTATTTGTTTTATTTGCATAATTAAGCCCTAGTAAGTATGCTATATGTCGTCCTTTTAAAAACTCTGAAGGATTTATGTATTACAGGATAATGCCTCTGCTTTGGCAATATCCGTGTTCTTTGATTAACCCCGCGCATAACTATTTGATTAGTGTGGATAATTGTGAATATTCATATTATAAAGAAACAGAATATAAAGTATGTTAGTTATGTATTTCAAAGTTGTTAAAAGAGGAAACTAGTGTATACTACAGTACCATGTTGAAAAGTTTTATTGTCGTCAAAAATAAGTCATGATACACAAGACCAACATGGGTGTGTATTTCTAACAGACGGTATTTTTGAGTTTATTATTCTTATCCTATTAGAATATTTTAAATTATTTTAAGTTACTCCTTCTTTTACATGCTCTTTAAGGCTTACACCCTGACATTACGAATAGGAAAGATACCATATTCTTTCTCCCTTTTTAGCTCTCTTTCACTTTTTTCGCATTCTTCCGAGCTGTTGCCACGTCTTCGGAAATATGGGGTGCGTCCGAGATGCTTTTGATGCTCTTCCTCTCTTTCATCTCTTTTTAGGATCTCGCGATGATGTTACTACACAAATGTTTGCCGTGCTTGGAGGCCCATGTTCTTGAAATTATTTTCAGAAACATGGGTCTTAGTAGCATTCTGTCTAAAATATGCTGTTTTGCCCACAGCATCATTTTTATGTGATGTCACTTTTCTTGTCTCTCGATCTTCTTGACGGTGGCTTTGGATTAAGCAATCGAAACTTTCTGCTTTTGAAAGAGCTTTATAGGGATTCCTGTGAGGGACCAGTTAGTCCTGGCATCGAAATGTGCTTTGGGTTGCACAATGCACGCTGTGATCACAGCCTTACTATTCTTATTTTTAACTGTCATACTGATATGTTCCTGATACGTATTATTATTACATACATGGTTTTTCTTTCTGTGATTAGGATTTAAATTATTCTTAAATTTAGAATAGAAGAGTAATATAATTAAAACACGATAACATTCACATTCTATGAAGGAAAAATTTATAAAAAAAAAAGATCTTTGAGACATCTCTGACCTGTTCAAGATGTTAAGAGATGGCACCCATATATCTTCAGAAGGTATTCGGAGACTTTTAACAGTATCACTTTCCCAAGTTAGGCGTTCGTCCGTCCAGGCCTATTTTAAGAAACAAAAACAAGGCTTTTACTGTTTCACTCATATTATAATTTCCGAAAGTTAAGTTTTTAAACTTGAATTTTTTAGTAGTTTCAAGATGTATTCTCTTACAGCTATTCAAAATGATAGCTTGAATTAACTATATAAGAAATACATGATTAAACAACTAAAACATAAATATCATTGAGTTTCTGGAAAATTCACCGAAACTCTCTAGATTTCTTTTAATAAAAGAGAGAGGTATTACGCAACATAAAGCAGTAAAGTATGGGTTCTAATGTGCCTTGGAATAAGTTTTATGTTTGGAGTTGTCTCTCGTAGATCGTCAAACTCCGGTTCCGTGCTCCTAAATAGTATCTTCTTGCTAAAAACAAGTTCGATTGAGGTACTGCGAGAGTACGCAGAGAAAGCTTTCGCTTGCCTGATGGGAATAACGTACCTTTTAGGAATGCATTCCGCCCTGTTGGACCACTGAAACCCATATATACCCCTGCAACTTCTTCTTAGAGTTTTCACGTCTCGAAGGCCGAGACTTAAGATATGTAGTACAGTTAATAGCGTTGTTCTAACATATGTATATGTTACCGTGAAAGACCGAAATTGGAGAATGTCGACTTTTACCGGAGAATATCAACATTCACCAAATACGTAGGTGAAAGACCGAATATTTCACTACATTATTGTATATTCGGACTCTCACCGGTGTATGTCGACAATCACAGATATGCTCTGGTGAAAGTCGAAAAGAGAGGTCATAAAGTGCCATAATAGTTTAAGATGTTGCAATAAATAAGATTTGAATCACATAATTAAGTTTTTTATTACTGTTATTTTATTTTCTCATTTAGAACGTACTGTATAATTAAGTAAGTTTTTAACTTCTATTATTTTCCTTTCTCATTTTTCATTTTGAATGTATGTTTCATTTTGAATGTTGTTATATAACTTAAGAACAGTTCTATGTTATGTAACTTAAGAACTGTTCATGTTCTTAAGTTCTTATTTCAAGTATCAAGTGCGTTTATTCGCGACTGAATTACGAAGAAGAAAATATAATATTGTTATATGTTCAACATTCACCATTAGTACATGGTGAATGTCGACATTCACCCCGGTGTAAGTCAGAAATAAGAGTATTTGGAAATATTTCGGACATACACCAAGAGACTATGTGAATGTTGACATTCACCGGTGAAAGTCGACATTCTCCAGATTTCGGTGTTTCACCGTAATATATACAAAGTGGGGATTTTATTGAAATATAACATGCCATTTTTTTCTTCCAAATGTTCTATTCTACGTTCCAAATTATGGCAACACATTAAGTTTAATAAAAATTGCAGTAGCAGTTTTTTAAAACTAGCAGTCAAACTTTTAACCCCGCAGTTTTAGCTGAAACTCGCATGTATTTAATAGTATAGACTCTTAAATTAAATTTAATTAATTTCTTCTTTCACAGTTAAAATCTTTAGTTTAATTCAAGTAAAATTCACACATTTTCCCTCATTTATTTTAAAAAATTGCATTTTTAAATAATTGTTATAAATTTTCCAAAAAGTAAATTTGGCTTATAACATATGAAGTTTTTGTCATCTTCTTAAAAGATTTATTTCTAGGCATACCTGAAAAAAGTTATCTTTTAATTGAAAATTTCCGAAGATATACTGAAATTTACGTATTGGAACCTTTTAAAATTTGACATATTTATCGTAGGCGATACTAATACCAAATGTGATATACGTATTTTGTTAAATCTTCAAAGAACTGCCACAGTTATTTTGAACCTTAAATTTCCGAATAAATATTTACTGATGATTATTCAAATGTAATTTCTTTTTTCTCATTTTTATTGATAATGTCTAATAATTATTTATTAATATTATGTGAAATAATACTTGTCAAATATGAATTATTTTAAAGTATACATTCTATGCATTTCTCTCTCGCATAAATTCTAGTCGAAGAATTCGTTTTTCATTAGTATTCTTTATTTGTTAAACTTCTTTGAATTTATTTAAGTTTGACATTAAAAACAGCAGTTCGTTTGCAATAATTTAAATAAATGTCTACTTTCAGTTCGCAATTAAGTCTCATAATTTTATTTTCTTAAATAATTTTCTTTACTTATGATTTCTTTGAGAAATCTTCTTAAATTTATAAAAGTACTTACTTTAGTAATTTACTAAAAGCAAATAGATAATACCTTTGTTGTAGCATTTGGTACTTGGGTATTTAAGTAAGAAATTAGTTTAAGACAATAAATAACTTGGACTTTTCGAAAAGCACTTCTTTTCAATTAAGACTAAAACTTAAGTGTATATAGTATTTGAATCATGATACTTATTTTAGTATATATTAACTTGAGCTCTTTTAGTATATATTAATTTGAACTTAAAAACATTTTTAAATTTACGGAATTCCTACCAAGCACTCAAATTGACAATATTTACAGAAGATAACACAGTCTTAAACAACAATAAAAATTAATATGCAGTTGCTAACTTAATTTTGTTAAATATTCTCGGTAATATTTAAAATTAAGACAGTATACATTAAAGCAATTTTTCACAAATAAAAATTAAAATAAAAAATACTGAGAATACATGTAATAAATGTAATAAAATAATAATAAATAAATGTAATAAAATAAAAGTATAAAAAAGTAATAAATAAATGTAATAAAATAAAGTAATAAATAATGAAATAAATAAATTAAATTTACATTGTATGTAAAAAATATATAACACATTAATGAATTTCGTTCCATAACTAAACCCTTTCTAGTGTTGTTCTTGCATTTAAATTCATAGCTCACACAGTTTACTACATTACAGATGCTATGAAAGCTGTAGATAAATTTTAAATGAAATTCTGAGAATAGAACTGATTATTCATCCTAGACAAAAATACGCAGCACTTCAAAGAAGTTTCGAATATTTAATTTTTGTGTAAGATATTATTTAATGTAAAGAACAATTCAGCAAAAGATCTCATCTGCTAACGTGCGTAAGCTGTATTATTCACCTCCGATCAAATGCTAGTTTTTTAAAGCTTTTTTTCCGCTGCTTTGGCAATGAAGCCAAGAGCGAGTCATCCTTCATTTCGATGACGTTAAAATAAAAATTAAATGAAAAGTTTAAAAAATACTTGTGTGCTGAAGAAAGGAAACTATTTAAAGGGAGAAATTAATTAGTGAATAGTTGTTTCCTTTTCCTGTTACGGATTTCAAAATCTCAGAGGCACTAATTGGAAAAGTAAAACTTAGGAGGCACGCATAAAAACTGCCGCTTTATGTTAATTAATTTAAAATATGAAACCGATCATACGAATATATCAAAACGGCAACATACTAAGTAATTTACGATAATCAGTGGTAAAAATGTAATCAATATGAACATGTAATCCAAAGACATAAAATAAACTTGCATTCAGATACTTACTAAAACAATTGGAGCTTCTAAGATCAATTCTCCTTTTACTTCATCCTACAACATAAAAAAATTACAGCTTTCCAAATAACAATTATTCTAGGGCGATAAGATAATTACGAAGAAAGAAAATATAATATTGTTATATGTTCAACATTCACCATTAGTACATGGTGAATGTCGACATTCACCAGTGTAAGTCAGAAATAAGAGTATTTGGAAAATATTTCGGACATACACCAAGAGACTATGTGAATGTTGACATTCACCGGTGAAAGTCGACATTCTCCAGATTTCGGTGTTTCACCGTAATATATACAAAGTGGGGATTTTATTGAAATATAACATGCCATTTTTTTCTTCCAAATGTTCTATTCTACGTTCCAAATTATGGCAACACATTAAGTTTAATAAAAATTGCAGTAGCAGTTTTTTAAAACTAGCAGTCAAACTTTTAACCCCGCAGTTTTAGCTGAAACTCCGCATGTATTTATAGTAAGACTCTTAAATTAAATTTAATTAATTTCTTCTTTCACAGTTAAAATCTTTAGTTTAATTCAAGTAAAATTTCACACATTTTCCCTCATTTATTTTAAAAAAATTGCATTTTTAAATAATTGTTATAAATTTTCCAAAAAGTAAATTTGGCTTATAACATATGAAGTTTTTTGTCATCTTCTTAAAAGATTTATTTCTAGGCATACCTGAAAAAAGTTATCTTTTAATTGAAAATTTCCGAAGATATACTGAAATTTACGTATTGGAACCTTTTAAAATTTGACATATTTATCGTAGGCGATACTAATACCAAATGTGATATACGTATTTTGTTAAATTTCAAAGAAAATGCCACAGTTATTTTGAACCTTAATTTCCGAATAAATATTACTGATGATTATTCAAATGTAATTTCTTTTTTCTCATTTTTATTGATAATGTCTAATAATTATTTATTAATATTATGTGAAATAATACTTGTCAAATATGAATTATTTTAAAGTATACATTCTATGCATTTCTCTCTCGCATAAATTCTAGTCGAAGAATTCGTTTTTCATTAGTATATTAAGTCAAATGAAATTTTCATCACTAATTAATACTGCAAAAGGAATAACTTATAGGTTGCTGGCATGGGGATGTTTTAATCCTAAAAGTAAGTGATAGGGCAGTCAGAATGAAAATCTTTTCCCCTAGGAAAGGAAAATTGGAACTCTTAATGTTGTTTTGTACCATTAATGACTGTTAAAACTTTTAGAAGATATATTAGATTGTCTTAAATACGCAGTCACCTTTCCAGGACTTATGTAATTTATACGTTTTAATGCGTAGAAATAACAGTATGAATACTAAAGTTTCAAATTATTTAGCAGCATTTTTGTCTGGTCATCTTTATGTCGCGTATTTTCTCAAAATACAGAAAAAAATCATGAAACCCAAACCGTGGCTACTAAAAGAGTAAAGTATTTTTCATTTACTGTATTAAAAAGAAAATACAGATATCAACGCCAACACATTATGAGAGCGGATAGAATTGTCTTCTCTAAATGTAACAGTTTCTGCTCTATGCGTTTGTATACAACATGGGGTTAAATAAATATTACGGCGATATAAGAAAATTAAGATATAAGAAAGATGTCGCATGTAAATCAAACGCATATAATCAAATCAATTTTCGGTAATTATTCAGCATGGGAATTTAAATATGTATCCTACAAATAACGGAAGATCTATACGATATAATCGAAGATGAACCTCCAAATCCGGCTGCAGAACGATGACGTAAACGCGATTGCCAGTACTGTTCAATGATAAATTTTTTTAGGAAAAATAATCAAGTAATTCATGTTAATTATGAAATTAAAGCCAAAAAATTCTGGATAAAACTCTCAAGTAAATTATTGCCGTTACGAAACTTTACAGCCTTAAGCTAGAAGAAAATGGGGATATGAAAACTCACGTAAGTGTTCTGCTTAAATTATTCGATATGCTTATCACAATAGATGAGAATACACTGCTTGACATCGAAAAGGCAACACCAAGAAGGAGTGGTCAGAAATTTATGCAAATTTTAGAGTAGACGCACGTCACTGAGTTATGCGAATGATGTGAAGTGTGCAGTTTTCCGACGCACGTGAAGTAAGATATAAGGGAAGAAACGTGCAGAATGGGCAATATTCGTGTCGTTATTTCTGCCAGACGAATTATCGAAGAAAGTTGGTTTTTGATGGCCAGGCCGCCGTCAACAAACCACTTCCAGCAGATAGACGATTTTACGAGGAGTATGGTGATCGGACTGAGAAGGACGGGTTGATCCTTACGTCAAACCGCAGCTGATACCCACATGGATGCGAACATGGTTGGAACAAGGAAATGTGGGAAGAAGGAGGGGTGTAGGTGCAGCCAGAGTGATGTCAGCACGCGTGAATAGATGCATCCGCCGACAAGCTGTGGCGGTCCCGCAAGTCACTTGTACCGCGATTCTGCAGCATATGCAAGACACCCTGGATGTTCCCGTGTCGGCCAAAACCATTTCCCGTCGATTGGTTGAACGTGGCTTGCACTCACGGCGTCCGTTAAGAAGACTGCCATTGACCCCACAGCACAGACGCCAACGTTTAGAATGGTTCCGTATTGGAGCGATGTGGATGACAGAACGGCGAAACGTCGTGTTCTCAAATGAGTCACGCTTCTGTTTATCTAGTGACAGTCGCCGCATACGTGTGTGGCGTCGACGTGGAGACAGATCTAATACGGCAGTAACTGTGGAACGCCCCACCGCGCGACAACGTGGGCATAATGGTTTGGAGCGCTATTGCCTACGATTAGTTCGTATTCAGGGCACTATGACGGCCCAACGATACTTGGATAATGTACTGCGGCCGGTGGCAATTCCCTACCTTCAAGGCCTACCTAATGCAGTTTTTCAGCAGGATAACGCCCGACCACACAGTGCTCGCATCTGCCAACATGTTCTGCAAGGTATACAGATGCTTCCCTGGCCATCGTATTCTCCTGACCTGTCACCAATCGAACATGTATGGGATGTGATTGGACGCCGTTTGCAGACTCTGCCCCTGCCTCGTTCAGAAGACGAACTGTGGCAAATGGTTGAAAGGGAATGGAGAGCCATCCCTCAGGACACCATCCGCACTCTTATTGACTCTAAGCCTAGACGTGTTTCTTCGTGCATCGCTGCGGTGGTCCTACATCCTACTGAGCCGACGCCGTTCTCACTCTGTATTTTGACTATCATTTTGAAATAAAGATCACGTATTGCTGCTTGCTGTCTCTGTCCTTTTCAAATTTCATCACTTTCTGACCACTCCTTCTTGGTGTTGCATTTTCAATGTCGAGCAGTGTATAAACACTGATTATATCTTGCAACGTGTATTTTATTCTACGCCTTAGGTCATATGATACTCTAACGATATCCGAAATGAAACTAACATAGAATTTATAAAAGAGAAATTAATTGACAAATTTAATAAAAGAGTTGAAAATAATTTATCGGAATCAAAGGCATATTAAATCGCATTCTGAAATTAAACAGAGAACGAAAATTTTTGCACTTAATCTCACTAAAACAACCATGTTAGTTCAGAGTGATTTCCTCTAAAATCGAATGAAAGCAAAAGATTAAACAGGGTGAATGAAACGTCCTCGAATTCTCAAAAATGTGAAACTAAGAATGTGTACAACCTCGCGACAAATGAAATAAGATCAAAATATGAAATTCAGGAATGATGCCGTCTCTCTGTCTATTTACAGCAACATACAATAAGTATTTGAAAGTTTCGCTTTAGATGGCGAAGCTGGTATAACTATTTAGAAAAACGGCATGAAACACTTTACTGAATTTCAACCAATAAGTCCATCTGACATCATAATATTAGGTAGATAATTCTAACAACTGTAGGAACAGGAACTGTTCATTTCAAAATATGACATCCTTAACACAAAATAACTGCAGCACTTTTGTTACAAATTCTGAATAACGGACAAATCTAATCCTGTATAAAAAATAGCCGGATAAAGATTCTCAGTTTTATGTGATGATGTTGATGTCGTGTCTATGACAAAGTGCAATTATATATTCCCGAAGCTGTCAAAGACAGCTTTTGCAACCTCGGCAGCTCTATCAGTATAAAGTAGGTCCACTGGGTCTTCAATGCCGATGTTAAACAGTCTGGCCTGGATTGCTGGCCAGCTGAAGATGTGATAGCGAGACAGTGGTATGTCATCTGGGCAATAAGGACAAATGTTGGTGTAACTACGCTGTCCGTCTGCAGAAATCCTCATCCCTTTTAAGTGATTTGTCTTAAGTCTGGTTATGATAGTCGATATGGCTCTGTCACAGTTCAATTCCGGGATGGAGTTTCATTTAACTTGACCGATTATTCTTTGGCTGGCAACTGCATTGGCATCAGTTTTATGTAAGAGAAATAAATGCGGGATCGCAAAAGAAGACAAAACTCTTCTCGAAATGTAATGCAATTTAACTAAACTTTAAAAGTAGGTGCAATTAAACTAAAAATCTTTTCAAACTAATAAAAATCAAACTAATTTTTATTTGTGTTTAGTATCAGAAATAAAGAATAAACCATCTGTTGATGCAACAATTCCATGCATTAAAACTCATGCTAAGCTTTGGCATAGATGCGTTGGTCATAGGAATAATGAGCAACTCGTAAATAATGAACTTGCCTAAAGAATTTCATTAGTTAGCTGCAAATATGTTTCAGTGCAAAAAGTATGCATGATCTAGTTTTTTATATCTTACAGAATCGAAATTGAGATTTCTAAAACTACTTGAACTTCTTTATACTGATGTTTTTACGGGTAACGCAAATACCTTTGGGCAGTGCTTATCTGTATTTCATAATATTATTTGAAAAATAGATTAATAGTTATATGCCTAATGACTGAATAACTAAAGCAGTTTCAAAATTAAGATAATTCACTGCATAAATAAAGCCATATATAACCACCTTCCAATAAAGCCATATGTAACAACAACAACATAGTTCACTACGTTCCTAAACAATAAATTCAGAAGAAAAATAATAATGCTTAACAGTGGTAATTTTGGGGAATGCATAAATATGGAAACTTTAAGAGACCCCCGCCCAGCCTAAAATAAGGCAGCGAACGCAAAAACAGATGTTTGGATTCCCAGATTGATTAAAAAGCATTGATTGTACATAAAATTGAAGATGAGGATGATATTTTTTCTCTGCGCTTTCAGCGGAAAATTATATTCAAATGCAATTCCAAAGTGCTCATTGCAAAGAAAATTCAGAATGTAATTTTTATTCCATATTCAGTTAACAAATGAGCTTCATAAAAAGTCAGATAAACAGAAAGCATTATTTAAGCAAATCAAAATGACTTTGAAGTTTCTCGAAAATCAAATATGCCATGTCGAAATTCGAACCACGTATCTTCTAAATTACTAGATAGATGTACTCACCATTTAAACCCCAAAACATGCACGGTGAAGGTGATACGTCTTTACTGAAAGGGCAACCGCGAAGAGGCATGCAATTCGATCGGTCAAATTCGTTGAGTGACGACTTACCACTCACATCATTTTTAGTTTAGACGCCACTATAGACACCAGCAATTTTTCGGAGCTGGGAAACGTGCAAAACATTGGCTGTTTCTTTGCCGAGATACGAACCATCGACCATTTGCTAACTGGACACTTTAAGAATTTATAAGGTTATGTTATGAGGGAATGTGACAGTTCCTTATAAAATAAAACCCTCCTCTTATTAAATAAAAAGTGCTCCTTGCATGTTTGTGATTAAGGGAAATTCTTTACATAAAATTTACTTATTAACATTGTAAGGTTTATCCTACATTAACTAACAGTTAATTTTTAGTTAAAGTTACTTTCCTGTCCATTCTTAATATCAGCTTACAACTTCCGGCCAGGACGTATTTTCAGAATCGCTGTCAGATGCAAAGAGCCAGATATTCTGATCAGCGCCCGTTCGCCTTTTAAGCTCTCTCTTAAGCTATTATTACGCTCGGCCGTACTTTAGGCCCTTGATAGCTTCGCCGTTAGTTTGAGTTAAGGGGCCAACTCTGTTAGAATCTTGATAGCTTCGGCTATATATTTTCAGTTAAGTTTGGTTACGTTTTACTTCTTAGTATTCGTGAATTCCAGCTTAAGTGGAGGCTTTACTGTAAACTCCAAGAAGGAGTCTTCTGTTAAATTTATTTTGAATAATAAAGGGTATTTAACCCTTCTTGAGTTCTGCTCTCTGTTTGCTGAACTAAGCGATTATTCGCTTACCACTTCTTAAGGTTGCTCAGTTTCAGCTTTAAATTAAAGGCAGGACTCTTACAACATTACCATTCGTCTGAAATAAGAAGTTAACTAGCATTTAGTAAGCAGTAGTTAACTCGCATTTAGTAATCAAAATAAACTTTGTTTATAAATCGTAGATTTAATTTAATAAAACTGTTAAATTTCGTGTTTGGATACATTTGATGCAACAGAAAATATTTAAGCCTGCGCATCATACATAAATTCAAGCCTGGGACAGTAACTACCTTTTATTACGCTCGAATATTTAATATATGCCACACTGATCTGCAAAGTGGTTAGCGATGCTGACTTCTGTATCATTGGGCCCAGGCTGAAACCCTGGATAAGGCTTGGACGTCTTCAAATGTATGGTGTTTTTCTTGCATGAGGACACTTAAAGTATACAGTGAGCCAAAAGACCTTTCCAGTGATTTCGTGGTTGGTGAAGAGAGGTGGATTCCTGGAGGGATTCTTCCTCAAAACTGGGAAAGTCGTACTGTCACTTGCGCAATGCCCAAGGCCCATGTCGACGACACATGAAATCCTGCGCATCTCGGGAGCAATAAAATTTGTGGACTTATTCTGATGTTACTGTCAGACAAATGCAACAAAACACAAAAACAGATCTGTGATATAATTCACCACTTTTCATGATATAATTAGATGATGATTGCTAAGAAAAGCCCTTCATGTTCAAGAATAAATATTAAAACTTGTTTAACTCACCAATCCACGGACTCGAAGTACGTTGATACCAATATAGGTATAATGCACACTCGAATATATGGCCGGAGACAGAGTTTTATCATAGTCTTTCAAAACCCTCTGTCGGATCGACGCAGCAGTATCTATCTCAGCTGTAGCTGTAACTCTTGTGATTGTAACTATACATAGACTACCTGAAAATAATAAAGAATCTAAAAATATCGATTCAAGTTCTTAAAAGTACTTGAAGTGTATTTCGAATTTAAAGCAATATATCCATCAAAACACGAAATGTATGAAAAAAACTTGTGAAATTAAACAGTTTGTGAATTCATAACATTTCGTCGAGTAAAAAGGACGGCATTATGATATACAAAAAATTAGCGGGCAGAGCACGTACAATTATAGATAAAAATGCAGATTAAAAAAAATAATAGAATTTATTATTATTCTTTTTTTAGATATTCTAAGCGAATTCTAAGCTCAATCAAAGTACTTAATTTAGTTATCGTTGCATCGAGATGATTTGTGATGCAATTTAATTCTTATTGACGAGTTTTGAAAGGCCAAGACTGTAGAAGTCATCCTGATCTTTGATTCCAGTGATATGAAATTTTTCCAGTTAGCAGTTAAAAAAATTTCCGAAATATGTATACTTTCCAAAAAGTGCTGTGTTAATTGACCAGTTAATTGCAATAGAGGATTATCTGTCAATCTGCTTTGAAAACTTTTACATGAATCGCTTTTTAGAGGTATTTATTGGCAAATGGTATTCCATTAAAAATGACATGATTTTAAAATGAAATGGGAATCATGTTTAAAATGTTATCATTGCCACTAATTTTTATTTGTGTTTAATACGCTCTGATAATTTATCGTGGCTAAACGCAAGAACGTGGCTTCAAGAACCTTAATTTTGGACAAAACTTTGTCTTCTCAGATGAACTCATTTCTGCTTTAATGGATATATTAAATTAACAAAATTATCACGTTTTGTGTGGAAACAATCCATAAGAGATTCACAAGAAGCCCTTGTGTCTGGAAAGGAACATTGTATGCTGTGTTTTAAGGCAGAGATCATCGGACCATTTTTTTTCCTCCGAAACCAGGAAGGAGATGCAGGATTTTTGGTGAGGTATAGCGATTGATGATAATTTCTATGCGGCCAAATTTAGAGGACATTGATTTGGGAGACATAGTTTCAACAAAATGGTGCCAAATGTCACACTACTATAGCTACTGTCGACGTACTGCAAAAAAAGCTTGGTGGACGGGTAATTTCATAAAATGTAACTGTTAGTTGGCCTTCCAGAAGTTGTAATTTAACTCCTTTAGCTTATTTTTTGTGGTCGTTTTGTTTGAAATGAATAATCGATGCGGACAAACCACGAAACCTTGAAGCTTTAAGAATAAATATCGTTGCATTCATGACATTAAGTCCGAGTTATTGCATACCGTCATCCGAAATTTGGTTCATCGAATTCGCTGGTACACACTAAGTGTAGGTGGACACCTAAATCATGTTTACTTTTCGTGGTTTTAATTGAAATCAATGATCGATACGAACAAACCACGAATCCTTGAAGCTTTAAGAATACATATCGAACGCTGCATTCGTGACATTACGTCTGAGTTATTGCATACAGTAATCCAAATTTTGGTTCATCGAATTCGCTGGTGTACACTAAAAATGGAGGTGGACACCTAAATTACTTTTTCTTCAGGACATAATGTCATAAATTGTACTTCAAAATAATGCAAAAAGTTTGATTGTATCTGAAGTAGTTTTTATTTCATTTCGAAATCCTAACATTTTTAATAGAACACCTTTATTTAAGAAACAATAAAAAGAAAGAGATCAAAGTAGCCGTCTTATTTCTTCAACTTCAGAGTAGCGATTAAATGAAATAACTGGCTTGTCAGGAGATGTATGTCTTTTCATTTGCTTCGGGAACATACTGTATCCTGAATAAGAACAGGGAACTTACACAAGCTCTTTTCCAGATTGTGTGGAATAGACGACACAAGCAAGAAGGGTATACTAAACCCTTTATTCTCTATTACTTTACAGGTACTCCCGTACTTCGGGATACAGAGACCAACCACTTGTGGTCTGAACGTAAAATATAAAACTACTAACTAAACTCTAACTAAAAGCTAACTTTTAATTAGTAACAAATGCCTAGCACTAAGACTGGCCTTTATTTAAAAGAGGGTATGTATAGTCGCTTTCTAAATCTCCTTCTCTCTCTAACTCTTGGCAAAAAGCCACAACTTAAATACTTGGGCGTTAGCAAGACAATTTGCATAAACAAGTTAAAGCATTTAATTCTGGCCGGAAATAGAAAATAAGAATAGTACAGTTTTAAAATAAAATAAACGTTAGTAAAACATAGGATCCTTACAGGCTCACGGGAAACTTTGCAGAATTCTAAAAGATTTCTTACAGTTAAGATAGATTACAATTTCCATCGGAAAATCATATTTTCTTTAACCACTTTACAAAAACAGTGTTTTCCAGTGGTCAAGCTCATAAGGTCGTTAAACATTTTTAGTTAGAACTGGGTTTGAAGGGGGCCATCTGCGTGGGTTCCGTCATGTGTAACATGAATGCCAGTCATTTTTCCTTAGAAAATCCTCTACGAACTCCTTTCTTAAAGCTGATAATGAGCTGTGCCGTAATCCGTTAATCTAATCTGTCAATCCTCATGTGCTGTGCCGTAATCAATTCACCTAACCTGGCAATAAAAATATCAGACTGATACTGAAAGAAGCGTTGAATGGGGCTTCAGATCTAGCAGTTTTCGTGTTTTTTTTTTTTTTTTTTTTTTTTTTTGTGCTATTGGATTATGGCTTATGGAATATGATTGGTTTATAAACTTATAAACGGATTAATGGATTATTATTATCAGATACGGAAGATTCACTCCTAAAACCCCTCAGCTCGCCATCTTTATCTAAACAAAAGTGTTTAAAAGTTACCTTTGTTATATTACCCTTACATTTGCCAGAGACGCCTGTACCACAATTGCTCAGTCTTTCAAGCTGAGATACTTACGGTTTCAACTTCAAATGCACGTGCAACACAAGCACAGCTGAGCATCTTTTACAGACTCTGCCGTTCTGCAATAACTGTCCGCCATCGCAAAGCCCATTCGTACTACAGATCAACGGTTCTCAACCTTTTGACTAACGCGTACCATCTAAACAAAAATTGAAAACCATTAGTACCACCACTACAAAGTGTTACTACCACCACCACTCTTGAACAAAGCTCAGATCGCATATATTCATGAGTGTTAGAGGAAAAACTCAATCAGGATGTTGGGGTTTTAATTTTTGAATTTAATAGTTAAAACTACTTTGTTTCTTTGCGTACCACCTATTTTTCTCTTGGGTACCACCGGTTGAGAACCCATGCTCTAGATTATTAATCAACTCCCGGCAATTCTTCAGCAACACTTTTCATACCTACTTGGGATTCCAGTTTACATAGGATTCTTATGCAATGAAATAGCTGATCAGCTGGCTAAGTTTGCCTCTATCAGCCAACACAAGCCGCTCAGACGGTATAGTGGTTAAGGAAGCCTACTGCGGTACCGAAGGGCCCGAGCTCGAATCCGGAGAAGGCATGGATGTTTGTAAATGCATAGTGACCGTTCAGCATGAAGGAACTCTAAATATGCTGCTAGCTGAAAGTCGTCTCGAGAGGTTGACGGTAGGGAAAGAGGGGTGGTAGACCCTCGGATCCGTCCCCCCCGGGGTACTCCCCATCAAAACTGCGGGCCGAACTGAGCGAAGTCGTACTGCCTCTTGTGTGGTGCTTCAAGTTCATGCCAACGACAGGCTCAATCTTTCAATCCTTGCCACGATGAAATTCATGGTCTTGTTCTGCTGTTACTGTCAGTCAAGTGAGATAAATCACAACACAATAACCAGCTTAATTGTTAAGCACGCGTTAAATATCCAGCCGTACTATCTCACGAATTTTCCAACCAAAATACTAATAGACAAATGGTGGGAAAAGAACAACAGTGGAACACTGTTAACACGAGCAGAAAAACTTTCTTAACATAGTGAGAACAGAAATACTGGTAAAATCTTCTCAACTTGCTCAGTTTTTAATTGGTCATGAAGCATTTTCGAACAACGTATGCCGTTAAAGCCTACGGGATAGTGATGCATACGCTTGTGGCAGGATCTGCTTCTGGACCACTATGCATTTGAAGCAATTCAACTAGGCAGTTTTACTTAACAGTCCAGGCCTGTGAACATACTCAGCTTGAAACAACGACCCCACCAGTGACAGAGTAACTGAGACCATTAAACACTGGTAGTTCGACCCAGGTTCTAACCTAGACGGACGGGCTAAATGAAAGCCGATTTCCTTTAGAAAGTCCTCCACTAAAGCATTCCTTTCCTTAGTCAGACAGTTCTCGTGGACTTTGCCATATTCAAATAACTAGCTTGGAACAATAATAACTTAAAGTATTTATGTGCATATGCTACCTTACAGCAGCATTCAAAGTTGCACAAGAAAATTCTCAATAATTGTAAATAGATCGCTTGCATATATTGAAATTTCCATAATAATTATTAGCAACCAGAGTGCACAAGGCATTAATATAATACAGCTCCATATAATTTAATGCCTTGTAATTGTCAATGATATTCAGCAACTAATGTATTAGCAAGTAAAAGATCAAAACAGTCAAAAACGATATAACCCTCAACAAAACTACCAAATTTGACTTTGTAATAATTCTAAAGCTTCCATTATTGCGGTCTGACCCTGCATACACAGTTTCCAGGCTGCGGTTGACAGAAAGACAGGCTGTGGTAGACAGCTTTCCAGGAAAGTAATGTGAGGGAGAATGCAAGGAATTATTGCACTTCCTATGCATTTTCCTATGCCTATGCATTTTTGTGGTTGCATATTCAGCTGGTAACTGGAAGATCCATGTCTGATTCCTGAATGCGTGTATAGTTGACCTTTCACACTGCTTAGCTGAAAAAAGTTGATGTTTTCTGCCAAGAAGAAAAAATATTTGCATGGTCAAAACTTTTGAACATACGAACAGAAGTACAATCTTCGTGCTTGAAGGAGGTGTTCAGCTAGAATACTGATCCTTTTCGAAATGTCTAAATGCAATATTTTATTGTGTGTTATTATGCACGTATGAAATCTATTGCATTCTCATTACCTTTTCTTATTTCACTTCATAGACAGAAAAAGCACTGACCATACACACACTGAAAAAGTTCATTCCATGTATTTTCGCTGCAATAATTTCAAGTCAAAGTAACTTTAGGATTATTGAATGTGATAAATCACTTTTAATTATTATATTTAACCCTTCTGCTTTCATTAACTCTTCCATTCATATAGCACTATTGAGCAGGGCGACGTAGCTTTACTTTATATAATGATGCCACAGAAACATAAAAAATTTTGAAGTCGAAGTTTAAAGAAAATGAGTTTTAGTATCTTTTTTCTGTCAAGTTCTACCGAAGGAAATTCGATAATATACTACATGAGGAAAAAAAATTCCAGCATCTGACAACATTAAGAAATAAAAGAGTTTAAAAGTATAACAAGTGGTACGGCATTTCAAGTTTATTTGAATTCTGTTTCGAAGTCTTAGATAAGCTTTTTTATTTTCTCTGAAAGTTCTGCAATGTAAAGTTTAATTCTTTTCCTTAGTTCTTCCTATCATGTAGTTAAGTCTTAGAGGAGAAATTTGTATCGTATTACCACATTACCTATAGTAGATAACATATATTATGATAATTTTCATGATTTTTTTATTTCAATGGAGTTCTTTAAAAATGAATTTTGCTTTTGTTATAACAATTTAAGATTTATAAAGTAAAATTTAATTCTGAATTCTGTAATATTTGAATGACTTTTTCACAAAATTCTTTCTTCATTGTTAAGATGGTGTGGTGTATTCAATTATGACAAAGCACACGAGGGCTATCTGCCTAAAGGGAGGGATGCCTTTCGTGGAGGACTTTCTAAGGGAACTGGCTCGTATACACGTTACACATGGGGAAAACCACGAAAACGCCCATGCAACCAGCCCGTTCGCGGGATTCGAACCTCAGACCGAACTACCAGTGTTCAGCGTCTTTACCGCTCGGCCGCTGGTGGGCCATTGTTAAGATGACAAGATTTGTTACGCAAAATGTTAGTTCATATATTTCCAGCAACTGCTGCAAACTGTAAACTATTTAAACGACATTATAATGGAAATGTAAAAAACTCGTAATGAACAGTTTCAAATGTATAATTTAATGCGTTAATCCGCGAATTTGTATATATTCTATCTTTCTTAAAAAATTAGTATAAAGCTTAAGATTTATTTTATTCATCGTAGCTTAGCAAATAAGAATTTATTTATGTCGAAATAAATTAAAATCTCATGTCCTAATCTAATATCTGAGTAAGAGATTTGATCTCTCCATTGCATATTAACATAATTTGGGGGGCAAAGAAAGAAAGGAAGGAAAAAAGCAACCAGGTTTGTTACTTCACTTTAATACAGATGAAAAGGCAAACGTATTTCATGCAAAACAATCGTAATATTACGATAGATTACAAGTATACTATTAATAGTAATATAAAATTGATTAATATTTAAAGTTCCCAATTTTAATTCTACGATTAAAAATTCGTTATTTAAACATTACTTCAATAAATAATAAATTTGATCATAAAAATTCCTTCTTACGAATTTCATTCGAATCTAATTAATCATCAGTTATAAAGCAGTTTTTTATAAACGTAATTTCATAGTTCTACCAACGCAGTACTTAATAGTAACTAAAGCATTTCATAGGAAGTGCTCATTCACACTTAATGGAAAAGGAAATTTTAACAGCCTCCATTATTAACTAATCAAATGCTGTCGAACCCATCTATAACGAAATTCAAGGTTCCGGAAGTTTGTTTCGCTGTATCCGATTCGCTAAGAAAAGTAGATTATAGTATGAAAACGAATAACAAAAATATTGACAAATTTACCTTTAACTTTTACTTAAGATATGTATGGCTGCAAAGGAAAGATTCAATAACTTTTGTGAAGAATATCCTATGCATTTCAAAAGACCTAAAGCGTGTAAAATCCCCATTCGGAGAACAGAACTTGGATAGCATTTATACTCAAATAAACAAAGATTCTAATGGAAAATTGCTCATTCTCTAAAAGACGGATCAACTGTATAACCCAAACTCGTAAGATTCACTACTTCCTCTTTCTCTAAATAGCGAAAATTTCACCATCACAGTATCAACTCTGAAGAGAGTTCTGTCTAATAACCCAGTCAGAGAATTTCTATGAAATCAAAAAGGTGTCGTTAAGACAGAGTGTGATTTTGCTAGTATAGCGCACGTTGCTATTTTGTCCTCCAGCTGTTAACTTAGTAGCGGCTACGCATTCTAGCCATTTAGCTAGTCTGTCGCCGGTGTAGGAAGCTGAGACAGCCTATTAGGTTAAATTAAATTGTGAAGTCTACTTCTTATTTTTCGAATTTATTGTTAAATTTACCTTAAGCTCTCACCGGGTAGTCGGTGTTTTTGTGAGCACATAGCCTGTGCTTTGCTATTAAAGATTGTAATAAATAAAAAAGGGCTTTTTACACCCTTGTCTATTGTGTTACTTTTTTACTCCTGTGCAAGAAGTCGCCTGGCTAGAGTTTGAGATCTAGACCTTTTGTAGATAGAAAAGAAGGCTAGGTCCTATAAGGTATTTTCCTTTATGAATGGAATGTGGATCCTAATATCATACAATCTAAGCGTTGAGCATTTTGAGGGTTAGTAATTTTTTCATTGAAGCTTGCAGAAATTCTGGAAAAATACGAAAGATACAAAAACTTTCCAATCGAAGATATGTATATACTTTGTTATATATGATTATCATACCTTTGGAAGTTCGCTATAGCAGCATAAAATAATATTAAAAGTATGTAGAATTAAGCGGGATTAAAAGTTCTTTTGTTATATCCAGGAGGTTCATTATATCGGGGATAGACTGTATATTTCTTTTATAATGAACAGTTTTAGTCATATTCAGACAAGATATCGTATTAGGAAACGTTCATTGACGGCTTCGGTAAAATCGTAGGCCACTAATGTTTCGGTTAATAACTAGTGACTACAAAATAATTTATATCAATATCTTTAACTTGATTCATAAAAACACCTTACAGTTACATATATCTACAGTAAAAAATATTTTGATTTAACAAATCAGTTTAGAATAGTGAATTTTTAAATAATTTTTTTAACTTATGTACCAAATTATAGCATCAGATATTTAAAGAACAAAAACGTACTCATCCATAATTAAATATGCATCATCTCCATACAGTGCATACGGAGACTTATTATTAAACATTCCGTGTTTTCAGATAGTACCTCTAAACAAAGTAGAATGTCCTTTCACTAACACAATCCTACAATCAGTAACAGTAAATGCTAATAAACCAATAACAATAAATTCTTACCTGAGTATAAAATTAAACAAGATATTGAATATAAAGCGAGTCTAATGCAACACATGATTTCCATCAGTTATAAATACCTTATTAACTGTTTTCTTTTGAAGAAGCATCCGGCAACTACTTGAATCGAAACACAGAACTGGGCGTTCTACTCGCGGTTTTAAGTTTCATTTGACTTTTGGGTTCTGAAGTTGAAAACTCCTAGCTGCCGCTTCAAAGGATCGTGTGTTCTAAGTAATCAAAGGTACCATATAAAACATACTATACAAGTAGTTTTACATATTTACTTGTGTTTTGTCATTGCTGATATCCATTTAATTAATTTACATCTAATAAAGCTAATTGTAATGCAATTAAATTACAATCTAAAATTTAAATCAACTTTTGAAACCGGGCATTAAGTTAGAAAGAGAGGTTTAGTGTCAAATAGTTAGGATTAGTTTAATGACAAATCTCTCAGCTTATATTTAGATGTATTATGTTCAATTATCCGATTTAAATTAATTAAAAGACTGATCTGGAAGGAAAAACACACTTGTACTTAGTTGGCCATTGTTAAGGTCTTTTCCCCAAACTCTCTTTTTATATTGCTTAGGGACTGTAGTTTATGAATTCAGTGCTTTGATCATTCTTTGTATGTTATCTGGTGGTTAAGCAAATTAAGTAATTTACATTTCAGATGTTGATAGCATGTTAACATTTACAATATTATTATGTAATAAGATATAAATAAATTTTATTATATAGTAAGTTATTTAATTTATATGTTATACATGTAAAATGTTAGTTCTTTTGAAAACTTTGATTTTGTAGTAGTTACAGGAAATTTAGTGCTTGATTGCTTTGGAATTTTCTTCTTCTGTTATTGACTTTAAACTATGTATAGCTAGGTGAAGCTCTTTTAAATCTGTCTTTTATCATAAGTATGTGCTTTAGTGTTGGAAATTAATTAAAAATAGAGCTGTATTCTGTAATATATTTAGAAAAACCCATATTGGACCACTATCCTAAACATAGGATGGTCCAATTCAGTTTGTTTAAATGGGAATTAAAAGTAAACAAATAGACAAACTTTTGCATAACTCCCTTGAAACAGACGTACAGTTAGTTAATAAAGTCCGCGTACATCAAGAAAAGTAATATCAAATCCAAATATTAAGGTGCGAAAAGGGTAGTTTCTTAAAGTTTTATTTTTTAAATATTTAGTTTCAATAAGGGACTTTGAAATTATTTAACTGTAATATTTTCATATCTAATAATTTAAGCACACTAATTTTTAAAATATATATGTGTATGTGTGTGTGTATTTAATTATGGCAAAGCACACTAGGGCTATCTGCCTAAAGGGAGGGATGCCTTTCGTGGAGGACTTTCTAAGGGAAACTGGCTCGTATACACGTTACACATGGGGAAAACCACGAAAACGCCCATGCAGCCAGCCCGTTCGCGGGATTCGAACCTCGGACCGAACTACCAGTGTTCAGCGACTTTACCGCTCGGCCGCTGGTGGGCTCTTTTAAAATATAAGTGGCCAGAAATCAAAGCCAATAAAGTTTGCGTACAACGCGAAGGAGGCGGGGGATTTCTTATCTAACTTTTAAACTTCAAACTTGAGAATGCAAAGAAGGTTACACTTTCAAGGTCATTGACTTCCGAAGCAAATTTCACGTTAATTGGAAGTAGTTATTTCTATTTTCTTTGATGAGAATGACAACCAATAAAGAAATTCCTTTAGTTACGAGACAACTAATTATCGAATTGAGAGATGAAGGTAAAACTCTTCGTTATATTGGTAAAACCATTGGAAAACCATTTTCTAATGTGCAAAGTGTTATTCAAAACTATCTTGACACTGGTAGTCTTGCTGTAAAACCAAGATTAGGGAGACCGAAGAAGCTAACGCAGAGAGAAGAAGGAAAAATTCTTTTACGAATTAAACAAAATTCTAAACTTTCTGCTGCAAGCATTACAAAAGACATTTTTTAACTAGCAACAAGAAAATTTCTCCTGAAACTGTACGAAAAGTGCTGCGAAAGGCCGATTATAATGGACGCAAACCTAGGTCTAACCCATACATTTCCGAGACAAATAGAAAGAAAAGAATTGCTTTTGTCAAAACATATTTAAACTCCTCGCAGGACTTCTGGAACAATGTAATTTGGTCAGATGAAAGCAAATTTACAATATTTAAAGTTAATGGCCACCCTATTGCATGGAGAAAACCAGGAACAGAACTGAATCTGAGAAATTTAAATCTAACTGTCAAACAGGGAGCTGGCGGTGTGATGGTATGGGGGTGTATGTCGTCGAAAGGAGTTGGAAATTTTCACAATTATTGATAAAGTCATGGATAAGTATGTTCATCTGGATATTCTGAAGAAAAATCTATGAGACAGTGCCCGAAATTTAAACCTTTCTAATACTTTTATTTTCCCCCAAGACAACGACCCGAAATATACAGCTAAAATTGTGAAGGAATATCTCCTCTATCACACTCCAAGACAGTTGAGTACTCCTCCACAGTCACCAGACCTCAATCCAATCGAACATTTGTGGGCAAAATTGGAGAAACGAATTCGAAAACACAATATTACGACGGGAAATGAGCTAATTAGTAAATTGCAGGAAGAATGGGCGACATTTACGTCGGATGACACTGAAAAACTAGTTCAGTCAATGCCCAGACGTCTGCAAACTGTTTTGAAGAATAAAAGGATATCCTACAAAGTATTGAAGTAATGTAAAAAACTTATATTTTGCTTTTTTTTTTTTTTTGAAAGTGTACGCAGACTTATTGGAGGGAATTTCTGAGTTTTTTTGACAAAATATATTTTTGAAAAAATGTAAAATGTATTACACTGATATTATTTACTTTTTATTTAAGCTTACAATTTTAGCTAATAGAAGAAAAAAAATGCAATGATTAAAATACATTTTTCTATGCTTAAGTGTTTTTTTATATTTAAAATTTAGTCTGTACGCAGACTTTTGTGACTAACTGTAAGTTTCATACGCAGACTAAAAAATGGCGTGTTATAATTAATTTCTTTAAAAAAATTACTTTATAAATTACCCTTTAAAATGGTTTATTTTTAAGCTATTATTTAGGATTGAAATCTATATTCTTTTTAAACAGATGTACACATTTCTGCTGGTAGATTTACAGTACTATTTGTAGAAATAAAAATGTCCATGAAAAATATTGTCTTTTTGAGGTATTTTAAACGTGTCCTGTAAACAGAGCAACGGTCCGAGCCCCAAAATATTTCCCTCATCATCCCCCCTCATTCACAGATCACATTTCTTCAAACTAATTTTGAACAATAGCTATCCATGCAATGGATTTAGAGTGACATATGAAAAGATTAGTGAAGAGATTATGGTGGAATTTTCTTTGGGTTTTTCACACAACTTCTTATATAGCGTTTTATGAGAAATAGAAGATTCATCTATGTGATATTTCCTTTTGAATACTAGAAGCAGGTGTTACTTCTGTATAAAATAGATAAACATTCTAAACAGAAATTAAAAATAAAGTTATGTTAAGTAAAGTTAAAAATTACTTATTCATTAACTTAGGTTCAAACTTATACATGCAATAAGCAAAAAACATGCAAAAAAGTAGGAAGCCTTTAAGTTTCGTTCATCAGTTATTTTTGTAAATGTGCATAGGAATACTGCATATAGCCGAGTAAAATATTTTTTGAAGCTACATATCATTATTGGTGATTATAACAAAGGATGATCAAAAAATGTTTTTTTATTAGTATTTTTAAGTGATTTTCTAAAAACAGACTCAATTTTCACTGAAAGATCAAATTCAAGTATCTTATTCACATGGCCACGGTTATGGAATAAATCGTCAAACATTCATCTCTAGAAGTTTGAAGAAAAATTTTAAAGTCCAAAATGTTTAACGAGTTTTGGCTATGTAGCATATACATTCACAGACAGAGAGTGAGAAACTACCGTCTAAAAGCATCTTTATTTATGTATAAACAGTACTATGTCATATAGACCTAGTACAGTGACTAGATGTTTCATAACAATTGCGCGACTAATTGAGCTAGTATCTTTTGAACACTTAGCGATAAAATTATGATCGTGACTTAAGAATTTTACCTAACACGATACACTTTCTGATTATGATTTATGATTAATCGTTATTATAATCGAACATTATAATTTAATGAAAACATGAAAATTCAATTTTTAACACACATTTTTTTTATGAAGAGAAGTCCAGTTAGTAAATTGTTCCTCATTCTTTTATACATCATTTAAGGGGAAATGTTCCGGATTTTTGAAAACTGCTTTTCAAACATATTCTCAAATTATATGATCTATACCATTTTCACCAGGAGAAAAGAAATTCAAAATGATGCTTGTATAAAGTTGAATTTTATTAAACTCAAAATTTGAAATTTCAGCTTTCCATTAACTGGTAACGTGAAAGTAATTATCTTAAATAATTTTTTTTTCTAACGTAGAAGAGGTATTTGAAAATTCTGCGTTAAGAAACGGATTTCATGCAAAGGTCTTTCGGTACACTGTATCAAAACATTTAATTATGATATTTTGAGTAATTTTAAGCGTAAAACCTTTTTTTCATTTTTGTTTGTTTGCTTTGCCAATTCAGCTGTAGAAATTTACATTTTTACTATAAATACATTATAAAAGTTTAAGTTTTATATATTTGTAATATAACATATCACAGGAATAAATTGTTATTTTAAGATGAAATTATAGCCAACTTATTTGACTCATTTATTTCTTAACCTGGAAGAACGTGTGCTGAAGCGACGAACAGGAAATGGCACTCAATGTACCTCATAAACAAAAATATTTATTATATTTTACATGTCTTTAATGCATACACTGCTTGACGAAGAAAATGCTACATTCTTAAGAAGGAAACGCATTTTCCCGAACTTTCTGTGAGAATTGCACACGTGTAAGTTATGCGAATGATTCCATTTGCAAACCAATCAGACTATTAGCACGTTGTATATAAGCAACCAGAGAAGGCGCGAAATCATCAATTTGGGCTCCGTTACGGCTTTTGAAAATTGTTTCCCTGGTCTCGAGTTTGGTGAACAAATATGACATATTTTGCCTTTAAGATGTTGTTGTACTCAGTATAAATATACGGATGAGTTCAAGAGGGGCTTCATGTTAGGCTTCTGTACAAATGATTGGTCTTAGCGTTGTATCGCGGAGGAGTCGCAGATTGATGCCCAAACTGTTGATCGAATTTGGCAACAATGGAACCAGAAAAGATATGTTCAGTGCCATAGAGGCCTCGGAGGAAAGAGATAACAACACAGCTCACTAATCACTGCATATGGTGTCACGTCGTATCTCACCCACGGTCTACTGTTGGAGACATTTCGCGAACTGTATAGGATGTTCCTGCTGCTCCAATATTGACGAGGACAGTTTCACAATGATTGGCAAATGTAGCTTTTTTTGTTTAACTGTCCTTTGTGAAGACTTCCATTAACAGAGAGTCTTCGCCTATAACGTTTGCAATAGTGTCGTAGTATAGTTGAGTGAAGTATGAATGAGATGTTATAGCTTTTAACAATGAATGTCGCTTCTGCCTCGGCATGCGAAAGTGTAGTGAAGACATGCCCGCCAAGCGGATTCCTTTACCATTTCGAGCGACACATAACTCGTAACTTGGAATAATGGTTTGGGATGCCATTAGTGCTTACAACCTTTCATATCTAGTGCTCATTATAAGCACATTAACGGGACGTTACGATTGATGATCATGATGATGATAATGTGCTGCACCTTGGACTTCTTCCAAATATTCAGGGCTTCAACAAAGATAACGCCCATATATGTACTGCTTGCCTTGAATGCATTGCAAGGTGGGTTAATACTCTCTTTACCATCCCAATATTCCGATTCTTCCAGCCCAGAATTTACGAAGCTTGATTAGTTGTCGGTTGAATACCTCCTCTCCTCCACAAAATGAAAATGAACAGTTGGATCATATCAACAACGCGTGCTGCACGATACCACGGGGCATATTTCAGATGCTCATTGGTTCAGTGTAACAAGGTGTTCGAAAATGTATTGTCCGAAATGATGCCGAAATATCTTACCGACTTCCTGTAAATCTACGTGTATTGATGTACATCTTTGAAAATTAAATCATTAAGTACTTTATTATCTATCTGTGTACAAAGCTCTGTCTGTTTTTTACCATGCTTTCATGGCATGGTATTCGCATTTTCCCATGGCTAGCTAGGACCTGAGAGATCCTTGGTTCTAACCCCGAGGAGGAGAATAAACTGATATTTATGTTTCCAGGTCCAAAACATTTTAATGACCTCAATATATGTACATTAATTTCTGCTTTAATTAAATTTCACATTGTACGCATTGCACAGATTGTAATCAGACTAGGTACAGAAAACCTCATTTTTTTGTCCTTTATAATGAGACACTGCAAGCACCTTCATAAATGAGCTTAGTCATCATAGTAATTAATTAAAGTCAACGTACTTTCTTTGATTTTTGTATTCTTTTAAAAATTTGCCTCCGGGGTGTTTAGAAAAAAATGCGTGTTTCGAAATTCTGTGGTATCCTCTTTTGTAGACACAAAAATAATTTTTGCATTATTTACACAGACATTTTACAAAAGGAAATAAATTACCTGAGACGGACCACACAGAGATGAGAAAATTATGTGTGTACCCCCCACAAGTCAACGTTTTCAAGCTGTTACGATGGGTAAGACGACCAGTTCTGACATCGCAGACGCAATAATTCTTTCCGGTAGAGTACAATAAACATAACTTCACGACCAGTGTCAAGAGATTTTAGCGTTCTGCACTGTGTCTGTCGTCAAAGCCGCTTGATTTCAGGAAGGCTGACGAACTAATGATCTTGTTTTTCCTCGGATATCGTTCCAGATGTAACGAATCAGAGGATGTAAAATATTGATGAAACATGTTATCATCTACAAGAAGAGAGGTTTCAGGAATGGCCCCACTGAACAAGTAAATATGGCATTTAGAAATCTTTTTACAATAGCGGTCGTCTGTTACAACCTGCAGTTTTGAACATAGGTCAATCAGTTACCACACAGTACCTTAACTCTACCAATAAAAAATATTTTTCGGCTGGCAAGTTTTATCCTTTTCATGACAGATGAGTGTCTAAAATCTGAATCGACTGTCGTTGGAAAACAAGACATTAGTTCATTATTTAAACATACAATTTCAGTGGAAATGACTCCATCGCAAATGCCCTTGCTCGCTAGAAAGCACTGCTCAAAAAATCGATGGTCGAACAGCTAGTTTTATGTAATTCAACAGCGAGTCCCGGGATGTTCTCGTTCTTGTGCGGTGATAGAAGCGGTTTGTTGGCTGATTCTACAGCGTAGATTTTGATTAGTTTTACTACTGTTAAACGTCATTTATTTTATTATAGTCATAGAGTAAGGACGACCTCCTTCAGTAGATCCGGAACATATTCCTATTGTCTGAAACACTGCCCAAAACTGGAAGCAGCCTTTAGACGATTCTAAGCTCCACTGCAGCTTTGACGAATGTGAGGCCTTCTTCCAACTTTCCTATAAACCTTATGTAATATTATCGAAATGATGTCTTTGAGATATAAGAAAAATTTTATGTTTGTATAATTATTATTTTTGGCAAAGGGATTTCATAGATGCAATTCGTTTCGTTTTGACCTGCTTTCGTGTTACTACAAAATCCTTAAACACAAGAATAGGGAATCTATATATTCATCGCCCTTCTACTGCGAAAATTTTACATCTGCAAATCACAACAATTTAATTTGTCAGATTCTGCTGTGAGAATATCGTAAAATGATGCTCCTTGTCAAGTTCTGGGTACGTATGTAAATATATTATTCCTCGGTCTCTCAGATAAAAAATTCATATAGAATTCAATAACAAGCTGACGTGCAGATGTAAATCAGTGTGTTATTGAATTTTAATACTAAGCTTATGATGAGATAATATTTTTGCAAACTATGGAGATTTTATACTTACTCAAATAATTTGTGTTTAGTTGATGAATGGAATTTTTTCGAATGGCGAGTGTGAAAGGTTTAGTAGATATTCTATAATTTTTTTATGCATTTCTACACAGAATATTACAAATCAATTCTACTCATGCAAAGCATGTATTTTCAATTTAGTCTTTATGACCCGTTAATGCCGTTTCTAGTTGTAGAAAATTTTATTTTTCAACATGCGTACAGCAAATTAAAGCATCTCGACACAGTTGTTAGGCAGTTTATAAATGCAATCTACAATTTATACACTTAGTTAATAAATGCAGTTACAAAGGTTGTGCACATAAGTCGTTCATGTATATTACATGACGGAAAGAAATGCTTTTCAATACAGCAAAAGTTCAGATACAGTACATCCCACATAATACAAAAGCATAAACTACAGAAATAATAATATATAATTTCAAATCTCTCATAAAAATCTTTAAAACAAAAAAATGAAAGAAAATATCATCCAAAATAACTCGTAAACCTGGCTTTCGTTTTCTTTGAATAAATATTGCAAAAGAGTTAGACCTTGTAATATCTTTTCGATTCTTATATATTTTCCCATTACTGTAACTATAATTGTTAAATAAAACTCTTTTAGAGAAATATGTTTTGCAGGCTACAAATATAATATTATTTATCCTTAATAAAAGAAAAATTTATTTTAGTTGTAAACTGATTTGACGTCAAAATAAGTTCTTGTTTTTTCCCCTAAACAATCTAAGAATTACGTTGTCATTTGTTACATTACTTTTGAACTGCTTATAGCACGTCTTTTCTTTTTGAATTATTAATGTCACACGTAGCTTCACATTTTAATCATTTATTGTTTGATCTCTCCTAACATATTTAATATTACATTTTAAGGAACATCATTTTTCAACAAATTTAATTAAAAATCACATAATTCTGAAGTTAGTTTCAAGAATAAACAGAAGACAATGCATAAACTACCTATATTCTCATCAAAAAAAAAATTAAAAATTAAAACACTAATAAAATTCAATTTAATTTTCCAGAATCAGGCTCTGTCATCTGCGAGTAAGACTCATCCTAACTTTCCTTACTTATTTCGCTATTTGAATATCTCGTTGCTACTAAAATAAGAATAGATGAAGACGTACTGTAGCTACAGCATTTATAAATTTAATTTATATTTTCTATCGATTTTAATCCGCATAATTTCTGTATTTTAAGGGAAAATGACAGAAAACAGACTTTCATGTGAGAAAATAAGTTTTCTGTTACATTTGCTCATTATTAGTTGGGTGAACGTAAGTAAATTTTCTAATTAGTTCGTGCTAAGTAGGATAGGGTTCCTTACCTTATGATATGTTTATAGTAATTAATAATCAGATTAAATAAGATACAAACCTCATATACCCAGATTTTTTTAGAACCCCGAAATGTACAAATGAACTTAATATCTGTTTTAAACCTTAAAATGTAACTTTTGTTTCACGTATCAATTAAAATTTGAGAATAGCTTTCAAAACTATAATTTTTTTAAAGATTTTTTTGGATGTTGAACTGCTAAATAGAAAATAACTAAATGTCCCAAAAATGATTTTAAAATAATAAATTGAGTAGTTTCTGATGGTATTTAAAAACGAACGGAGCTTAGTAAATATTTGAAAATCTTAATAGAAAGTATGTTATATGTGAATATTTTTGGGAAACTCTCCTTTATCTAAACCTTTAGGAATTTACTCTACTTTTTAATTTGTTCATAAGAAACTACCAGAAAATTATCTTAATTTATTTTTCAAACACGTATTTAGACTCTAAATGTACAATAGAAATTCTTCATTTTATATATAAGTGTAATCTGTTGTAAGCTTGAGCACAAAACGTATGCTTAAGATTTTAAATCAGCTTAGCAAACTAACTACCGACTGAAGAAATTATGAATATATTATCATGCCGCAAATTATTTATATGTTTCTAATTTCATCTGGCCTTAACTGCAACGTACATGAATTTTATCCTATAATGAGCATAAAATTACCAATTATTCAATAAAAAAATTAGAGTCATGCATTTGAAGGTACTTTAAAGCATGCTATATGTATGTTCCCTTGGTTTAAATTTCTCTATAATTATGGAAAGAATCAAAGAATAGTTATGAAAGGAATAACAAAAACTATATATATTTATGGCTGTTTTTAGCTTTAAAAAATATTTAAAGGAAACAACTATACTCAGATTACAAACCTGCTGCACGTGATGTTGGGATAAAAGAGGAGTACTTTTGTAAGTAACCATAACTTAAAGAGTTTTTCTAATATTTTAAAGTTACGCTATGATAAATACTTATTCGTTAACCCAATTTTAATAAATTCTGCACAACTATTCCTTGTATTGGTCATCTTTCAATAATGTTTTCAATAATTACTTAATTACTGTCTTAAGTGAAAAAAAATGCATTGTTATTATTATTGTTAATCACTATTATTGTTTCAAATATTACATGGATTTTCAAATACAAAATTATTCCCAATGTAAGAAAAAAATTATGAAGTAATTAACTCGAAATTAATTTGGAAATAATAATACCAGCATACTTTACATAAAACAATTTATTTGAAATTTCGCACAAGTGGAAGTGAAACTACAAATAAATACGTACACCCTAAATAGGTTTGGGTTGCACGCAGTTTCCCAGTACCACTCCACTATTAAAACATACTAGGTGCATCATGTTTTTCGGTATTTAAAATCTATTGTATCATAAAAATATCCGTTATTTTATTCTATATTCATCTTTAAGCACTATCATAGTGAGGCATATCTTGAATCTACTATCTATCATAGAAGTGCAAAAACAAACGATTAATATTTATCATTTTTACAAAGTGCAGTTCGGGGACTCCTCTGAAAACTCCGATAGCTGAAATATTTCATGCAGCTTTCGACATTGTAGTCGTAAAATATGGTACAGTTGCGTATTATGAACCCTCAGTGATCTAAAGTACAATAGATATATTTATTAAATACACAATTTACAAGCTTGGAACCGTATCTTTTTAATGATGGACGATAAGCTATCTTCTGTACAATAATACAATAAAGCAAGTATTTTTGATTTAGTCATAGTATCAAACACAGTTCAAACGCTAAACGTAAAAGATATACTTCAGTTATTTACATTCTCTTGTCCTATACTTGTTCTACATAATACAGTTTACTAAATACACTCTCATTCATAGCTCTGAAATAGTTATACATAGAGGAGGAGAAAGAATATTTTATCTGGATTAACTGCACTTAAACTTGAATATGGAATTAGAATGAAAGATCGTAATTTTGCAGCACGGTTGAAAATACTTATAACTTTTCCTTAAATTATGAAGCAGTTCCCAGAATTATAATACAGTAAAGTAAAGTTGTTTCAAATAAAGGTAAATTCTTTAGCATTTTGTAGAAAAGCGGAGAAAAATGCAGAAAATGAACATAATAAAAAGAAAATTCATTTGCAAGCGTTAATGAATTAATACTAAAATATTAAACATAAGAAATTTCTGCTCAGGTATTATTTTTTAATTATATGTTTTTCAGCTCTTCCGAAACCATTTACTTCGCCTTTTTATATATTTATATAGTTCAAGCAATTAAACGGTATTTTGGGGCAAAAACATGGTTAATATCCACCTCCATATACTACCATTGACAAAGCCTCTATATTTACAATATAGTAATTCTGTTTTATTCTCTACTACCATGAACCAGACATTTAAGTCAGATATTATACACATGGACCTGGTATCAACGAGCTTTCCCTTCAGTGGGACTTAATTGATATTTTAGGCGAACAAAACTGAATACCACTACTTTAAACCTGAATGTTATGTTCTCAGAATGACTACATTTATCTATTGTTCTAGAAACTGTGGAAGACCTGTAGATGTCAAAATTACGGTTTGATACTGGATAATATTGATTACAATATTTAGTTTTCCTTAGGTTGATACAGAATGGTCGTGAAACGTTGAAAAACTTGTAAATGCATCATAGTACAGAAAGCTTAAGAATTAATTTACACTAAGTTGCATATACTTTCAGTGACAGTCTCTCCTTTAAGATCATACATTGTAATGGACATATATCGACAGATTACAAGTGTTTACATTCGGGAGAGAATAATGAACACAAATATAAATATTATGTGTTGACAAATACGAGCTACGTGCAAGGGGGTTGGAATTTCATGTAAGGAATGTGACAGGGAAAAAGGGAGGGAACACTTTTGTATTGAACAGCCTTTTGCAGTCTTGAAAATCTTGCCGATTCATGGTCCTCTTTTTTCCGTCCTATTAGCCTGAAAATGAAAGGAATAGTGGATTGTTAAATTCAAGAAGGAAATTATATAAATAATATTATAATGAATATGTTACCGTGAAAGACCGAAATTGGAGAATGTCGACTTTCACCGGAGAATATCAACATTCACCAAATACGTAGGTGAAAGACCGAATATTTCACTACATTCTTGTATATTCGGACCCTCACTGGTGTATGTCGACAATTACAGATATGCTCTGGTGAAAGTCGAAAAGAGAGGTCATAAAGTGCCATAATAGTTTAAGTTGTTGCAATAAATAAGATTTGAATCACATAATTTAGAAAGTTTTTTATAACTGTTATTTTATTTTCTCATTTAGAACGTACTGTATAATTAAGTAAGTTTTTAACTTCTATTATTTTCCTTTCTCATTTTTCATTTTGAATGTATTGTGTGTTTTAGGTTCTCATGTTCTTAAGTTCTTATTTCAAGGCTCAAGTGCGTTTATTCGCGACTGAATTACGGAGAAGAAAATACCGTATTTATGCGAATCTAATGCGCCATCGAATCTAATGCGCATCCCCATTTTAAAACTTTAAATAATAAAAAAATTGTTTGTCGGCGAATGTAATGCGCATCAATGATATGAGGAATTTATTGAATCTATTTTATACAACAATGGATTTGTATATAAACTATCAATTAATGGTATGATAATTTTATTTAAAATTTAGATACCAATTTTATACAACAATGGATTTATACATAAAGTAGCAAACATAGAATTAACCTATTAATGGGCAATTGTTATGTGAAACAATCATTGTTAATTACTACTACCGTATATCCATCCACGGCTAGCCTTAAACTCTTGTTTCGGTATTCCAAGAACTTCATCCTCCTCTTTTGCTTTATTTCTCATGGTGTCACTAGTCACAGGTTGTCCATTCTTCCTCCTTTCACGTACAAATTCCAAAACTTTTTCTTCAGTTTTAGGGTGTCTTCCTTTGCGAGGGCCAGTGAATTTCTTTCTACTAGCTTTAATTGCAAACAGTGCCAATTTCTGTTGCCGCCACAAGCGAACATTGCTCTCAGCTACGTTGAACTCTCTCCCTGCCTTTCTATTGCCATTTTTTAAGCACAAAGAATTACTTTATGTTTGAAAGTAGCGTCATATGACATTCTTCTGTTTGCCCTCCATTTCGTGACTACGTACTCTGCAGTTTGTATCCTCTATGCAATAATGTGTCAACGATAAATGTAACGGTAAATGTAGTCGAGAAATACAGTAATTCGTTGTTACGATTTAAATTTGGTTGACGCCATCAGCGAACTGCTGACGTCATCGGCGAACTTTGCACTCGAATTTAATGCGCCATCGAATCTAATGCGCACCCCAATTTTGAATACTACATTTGGCCAAAAACGATGCGCATTAGATTCGCATAAATACGGTATAATATTGTTATATGTTCAACATTCACCATTAGTACATGGTGAATGTCAACATTCACCGGTGTAAGTCAGAAATAAGAGTATTTGGAAAATATTTCGGACATACACCAGGAGACTATGTGGATGTTGACATTCACCGGTGAAAGTCGACATTCTCCAGATTTCGGTGTTTCATCGTAACAAATGTACATGTATCTCAAAACATAACAAAAAAGTAAAATAATCAATTAAAGTTATATTTTAAAAATTTAGAGTTGTAGAAAATTATTTTTGCCTAATGAAATGTAATTAAAGGTGAAAATTCAGCTTTTAATTTAATTCGGTAGCTATTAGTGAAAATGTGAGATTTTAATTCAAAGTTAGTTTTATTTTGTTGCTAATTAATGAGCCAGTGCATGATGGTAATAGGATGTAAATGCATTTTTTTCTTATACGAAGAAAGGAAAGGTACTGAAATCCAAAGGAAATATAACAAATTAACTCCCTATTTCACTCTGAATGTTAAAAATAAAACAGGAAGCCGATAATTTCTGAAAATATAGTGTCCTAATTTATATAAATTAGAAGTAAATATTTATTACAATTCTTTTTCATATTTGGATCAAAATACATGGCAAAAGGAAAGTCGGCTATATTTGGCACTTCTTACCTAATGGTCCACTTAATATTTCCGACTCAGAAGCTGACAGATGCATTTGATCACTATCATGCACATAACATGTACCAATAATTGGGAGTAAATGTTAGTTTATTCAGCTGTAATCATAGTAATTTTTAAAAAGGGATTCCAAAATTAAAAGCATTTAGAATTTCATTATTCATTTAGTACAGTTACAATAAAATAACACAAGTGGTACCTAATAAACAGGCATTCAGAGCAATGGAACTTTGAAGGTCTGCATTTAAACAAAACTTAAGCCTGTGAGATAAAAACGAGCAATAGATTTACATTCTGGCATATATGGAACCCAGATACTTAAAACGCCCGTCTCCTGATCGTTATGTTTTACATAATGCTCCCAGCATTTCAATGGCTAAATTAGATCACAACGATGCTTTTTCTGTGTCACATAACGAAAATATATGCCTTTATACTGCTTGCTCGTAGTCCATGTGTTGTCCCTATGGCTACTACTGCGAAAATAAAAGAAATATTTTCACTGCCACATTAAAACTCGACCGAAGAAAACTGAGAGATGAATTAGCAGAAAGAAATTAATGGAGGAACATAAAGTTCAGGTTTACACTTAAATAAACAAGATGGTATACTCTCTAGATATTCATAATGCCTATAAATAGAAATAACTTAAAAGAATTGGATCTGCATTATTCTCAATATGAAGATTTAAATCCTGTGTTATACGAATGATTTGACCCGAGAATAGTAGAGGAAGCATCCACTTCCTCAATAGATGATTGCAAGAAAAAGAGAAAGGATTACATGGGAAAATGAAGATGCAAAGTGTGCGTAGTTTTTTCCCGTCAGGTGATTTAACCGATTAAATTAAGCCTTCTAGTCCTTGTCAGCTGAAAGTGTCCGGTGAAAATAGAAGTGTACACGGACGATCTTATTGAACATTTCAAGAATATTGCTAAAGAAATGTAATCTGATAGCAGAAGAAATAAGTATATTATGTCGATCAGATTGGATTGCTATGAAAATATCTTGTCTCAGTCCTTCGATCCGATCGGAAAACTTTAAGCAGAATAAAGAAAGCTTGACTGGGGATATGCACAAATGTTGCACGTGCGAGCAAAGTGATAAGCAAGTTTTGCAATCCACAATGCTTTAAAAATCTGAAAAATCTGCCCATCCATTATCTCTTCTCTACAAATAATAAAAGGAAGAGTCCGTCTGTTTGTGTGTGTGTCTTTCGTTCGCGTTGCGCGTAAGCTAATAGACCCACGGCTACGAAATTTGGTACATAGGTGCATCTAGACAAGAGCCAGTGCACCTCAAAGCGATTTTTTCGAAATTCGAATTCGAATTTTTTTTATTTCATGTTTTGTGACGAAATCGCGTCATTTTCAGACATAATGGGCTATAGGAAAGCGAGATTTTACTCTACATACTCCATTTTCACATCGTCATGAAACGTAGGCACGTAGCTATTTTACGAACTTAAAATAAATTTCGTGTTTAAATATATCGATTAAATACGAATTTATTTGACAAAATGAGCTTAACACCTTTTCAACGGGATTTTTTCTAAAAAAAGTTTATTTTTAAAAATGTACAGTTTATTTTTTTTTTTTTATTTATTTATTTTTTATTTAATTTATTTATTTATTTAATTTATTTATTTATTTTTTTTTTTTATTTTTGGACACGTTAAACTTTCCTCCTTGCGACTGCTTTTACAAAAAGAATTTTGTAAAAATGATAATATTTTGTATTTTAAAAAAAATTTTAAATGAAACTTCCTAGTACATCTCACATCTTTAAAAATGTGATTTTGGCAACAATTTTCCTTTCTTATTGTTGTTGATAGATTTTTGATGAAATCGCATCATTTTGAGTACTTTCATTCTTTTAGAAATATGGGTTTGGCAACAATTTTTCATCGTATTTCTTATGCCACTGTTTTTAAGAGATTGGCATATTTCATTGTCATTTTTTATATATATAATACATTTTTATTGATTTTTTTTATAAAGATCTTCTGCAGAGTAATATTCTGTGCAGTTTTTTAATTTAATGTTTGGTGTTCCCTACAGGCATTTTTCCGGTACATTTAAAAGCCAGACGTAGGCTGGCCGTGTAGAGGCTTGTGAGACATAAAAGAACACCTAGATGCATTGTGAAACATTTAAAGAACAGTTTTGTAGGTTTTTTATCGCCAGTGTGAAGAAGCATTTAAAAAAGTGGGTTTTTTATCACTAGACCAAGAAAAAGAAAATACTTTAGCTGAGCGACTCTAGACTGTAACGTCTATTCCCCGGTTGGAAAGTTAATTGTTTCTGCTATCCAATGTAAGAAACCTTTTCCAGACAATAAATTAAGGAGTATAAAAATGAATACAAAGATAAATTATAGCTCTCTTTTTATCCATTGATGTGTAAAATTTGAACATTTTGTCCAAGGTTTTCAGAAAATTTTTGCATTAAAGACCTTGCATTTACTTTACTTTTGCCTGACAGAATATAGAGATTATTGCGTTGATGTTAATTTTATATAGTGCGTGAAATGGATAGTGAAGCGATGAAGACTTTAAACATTTAAAAATTTGTTTCTTGTTCGAAATCTTGGATTTAGAGACGTGATCGGAGAAGATTATTATTAGAGAACAGGAGATGCAGCCTTAGAATAGGTGTAGACAGTTCCGTTCTTTCCCCTCTTAATCCTCTTTCTTCGTTCCGTCTTCATGATGAGCAAATACTCGAACATGCTCTATGAAAGGTGAAAAAATATGAAAAGGGGGGAGATGAAGATGTGGACGACTGCGCTCAGATTAAGAAAGTTATGTGGAAGAAAACTGACGAAGAATTGTAGATTTTAACAAGATTTACTGAGAAATTTTCATCTGTATCATTATATGGCGTTAAGAAAAAGTCAGCGAATAAGCAATGAATTTTTTAAATTCTAAAGACAATTTAATAAGATGGCAGACATTCGTAACTAAGTTGTGCCTTCCCACTAAAAAATTCACAACTGTCATATGTTCTATAATTTTTAAATGCTGTTTAAGGTTTGATTTTGTGAAATATAAAGTTACGCATATGTGCTTTTTTTGAGTTAAAAAATACGCAGGATTCTTTTTTTCCGTTTATTTAACTGCGGTAGGTGAATCGAAAATCAAAATCAAAGGGCTTCTTTTGCTGAAATTTCTATGATGGCACCACAATATTTGAAAAACTAAATAAACAAGTAAGTTATCCAAATAAAAATTCAGTTATCTGGGGGGGGGAATCTCTTGTCCGGGTTCAGGGAAGCTTTTTTTTGTTGCCCGCAAAGAGAGTTTCTACTTATCTTTAGCAATGCTGCTCCATTTTTTTATCGTTATCATTAAGGTATCGATATAAGTTGTAGTCTTCACGTAGTGTTGCCCATAAATTTAGCATTCATTCTAAAATCATTTCTTTAAAATTTTTTATAGAAAATATTTGGCTTATTCAAATAGTAAGGTGATGACAGCAATAAAATATTTCCCCGTAACGATATAGCACAGCCAATTTTTTTTTTCAAATATAGCCTTAATCTTACCGGATGTTGAGAAAGAAAAGCTGAATAGTGATTTCAGACAGAATTACAAAGTGCACTCGCGTAACATGTAGTGTTGGTTCACCTTCAGTCAGTTGGTAACTGTATTTGATTCATTCAAACATTTTTTCAATTCTGCGATTCACCAGGTCTTGAATTTTCAAGAAGCGTTCACAACCTTGAAGGAAACGGGCATTCCACATTTGGGCGCTTTTTCATGAAATGCAAATTTCTCCATACACTCGAGTATTCCCCTATAAAAACCAATCAGCTTTTTGCCTTCGGCCAATAAAAAGCACATGGTTGTCAACTAATGAAGAATTTGAGAGCTGAAGCACCTTTTTTAAGCTTCATATGATCAAACAGTGTCGTAAGACTGAAGAAGAACAAGTGCTACATAACGCGCAACTGCACATTGTTGTTCCTCGTTGTGTGAAGTCAGGAACCTAGTTCTCTCAAATAATACCCGATAAGATCAAGGTTATATTTGAAAATGAAGGATTATTCTACTTCTTCATGAAGAAAATTTTAGCTCAATCATCTCCTTTTGGTTTAACCAAATCAATAAGAGCAATACAAAATAAAACTCACTTGATTTTGGTCTATTACTCTTGGAAGCCAGTTGGAGCATGCTATTTTCATGACCTAAAGAAAGATAGTTTTTGTAAGTCAATAATATAGTAATTCACTTTAATAAAACATTTTAGTTATATGCAGGTATACTCAGTGTTAAAATCATTAAAATTAACCAAATGAGTCTTGAAACAAATCTTCTTATTGCCTTTGAATATTCAATAACTATGTTATTAAGTTGAGTAAATATTACCTAAAAGCAAATTAATTGTTATAAATTGGACTTTATTTATTATTAAATTGGACTTTACATTATGACTTTTACCTTAAGATACTACACACTTTACGTTTAATTTACGGTTATTTACGATAAGAAATTTAAGATACAAGGAGAAAAAGGTATTTTAATATACGTAGAATTTAAAAAAATCAAATTAACAGAGGCATTTTATGTATAAGTCTCATTTTGAAATTATAAAGAAGGTTTCTGAAAGTTCATCTGTAACCACAATTGATGTTTAAACTACATCGTACGTAAAAAATCGCATTCATAGAAAATTAGACTTCCCATTTCTACATTCTAATTGTAATTTTCGAATATTTACATAGTGCCGAATATTTATAGAAAGAATAAAGTCAACAAAAAAGACTGAGAGTTTTGAAATTATTCTATAATGTGCAAAATCTATGCTAATACTCGTCATTTAAAAGTTATTACGTCACAAATAAATTCGCTATTTGTGTTAATTTTAACCAAAATAAAAGTGAAGCATGTTTTTAATTTAATACCTACCATAGCACTGAAACAATAAACTCGTTTTCAAATACTTTTTATATAAATAAGTGTGGAAACTCTTCGAAACATTATTCGGAAGTTTGATATATTTCGTGTATCAAATTTACTAATTATCTTTATAAGATATGATGCGTACAACAGAATATCAACACTTTGTGCTCTGAAGTACTAGAGGTGTAGTTAAGTTCATTATTTATCAGCGTAGAAATAAATTATTTGATTACAAATAAAAAACTGTCTTATTTTATAGAGTGATATAGAAAACTGTCTTTATACAGTAATATTTTAAAGAAGGTACATCATTGAATAGAAAAGCAGTTTTCTTTCCGAAATTTTTAATTACTTGTTCCGTACTTAGAACGTATTAACACGATTTCAATATTTCCATGTACTCCTTTACCTTTTATCATTGAACTTTGAATTAACTCTAAGTAAACACTGAAAACTTACAACTACCATGTCTGAAAACTCTTGCATGCGTACTGTTAATGAATAATAATTAGCAGAACTGTAATATTCAAAATCTTACCAGCAGCTAACTTGCGATAAACTTCCGGAATGCCTTTGCTGGATGAAGGCCCATTCTGTTCAGCTAAATGCCGGTACAAACCAGATTCATCAAATGGTAGAGCTTGGTTTTCAGGAAACATGCTCTGGTATTCATGAAGACTGGCAACTAAAGCGGCCAAAACAACCTCTAAATAAAAAATAATTTTTATGAAGAATATTCAGGCTTTGGTCCATACAGAATAATTTTTGATATTGCAACATTATTATACATGAAAATAATGAGTTATTCCTGAATTATTTTAATTAATAAATTAATGACATAGAGTTAGCTTTTATAAAACTTATGTACCTGACAAGAAAGTCTATATTTTCACAAAATTTTAAGATGAAGTAGTTATTTTTTATATTTGTCGCTTGTTTTTCCTTATCTGACGATCGGAAAGAGTTGATAGTTTCATAAGGTTTTCAAGCTAAGCAAAGAACATTTAAATCATGACAAAAAAACACCTGCGGTGTAAAATGAAGCGTAAATGATGAAAATGCTACTTTCCTTCTTCGAAATTTGAACGTCTCTCTTTTGCGATACGGAAGAAACTCCAGCTCTTAGATAGCAAATATCTTAAGTTAAATTCATAAGGGGATTGCGCTTATGCTGAAAAATTCATCATCGAAAACAGATAGCAGCATACATACGTAGATGCATAGAAAAGGTAACAATTGGTACAATTTGGGATTCGGTAAGCTTGACAATTGTAGTGAAAGCAATTAAAAACAATTTTAAACCCGAAACTCTTTTATGAGCAATTTTATAAACTGTATCAGAAACCAAGTGAAGCATTAGCTTAAATGTAAACTTTGTTATCAAAATTTACGCAAAACTCTATCTATGAGGGAAGTTTTCCAGTTTAACAGGGCAGATCATTTACGTTATCTTTTCAATTTATGTTGTTGCAGTCACTTTAAATGCTGTGTTCTCTTTATTTATTTGTTTTTGATAAATTTAAAACATGGAAATCCCAAATTTAGGCTATGTATATATATGTAGTTTAACGTTATAAGGTATTTCTCCCACTTTCCTAGAGTGCCTTCGTGGTGTAGTGGTTCTGCACGCTGGGCAGGTATTCCAGAGGTCCGTGGTTCGATTCCCGGCCAAGACGTTGCTAATTTTTCATCTTGCCTGCTTCCAAAAATTACTTATGTCTCTACAACGTGAATAAATTCCTTATCCCATGCATGCTTTTATCGCTTTTAAGGTCGTATGAAAATTGCCTTATAAAAATCTGTATAACTATTCCGTTACATCAAAATACTATACATAAAACTGTTTAAATCAATAACGAAGTAAGTCAGTTACGAAATGCACTGAAGAAAGATTGTATACTCCTTTCTGTCAGGAATTTCCAGGAACTGAAATCTGAACAGCAATTGATTGTGAAAACAGCAGTTATTGTTACAAAATCTTATTTCTCTTTGTTTAATACAGCTTTGTCTTTTAAGTTGCATTTATGTGCCTGGAGTTTAAAACATAAAAGCTTATGAAAAGTATGTGTATTTTACTACGAGAAACTAATTTTTGGTATGCTATAAACATTTTATTGATATTGTTCTAGCATAAAGTGTCGCTTTATTTTTGTTTGGAAATATGACCGAGTTTATAGGTCATTTTGTCATGCCATTACTGAGAAAGCTGTAAAGAGTGTAACATAGGGATGTAGGGTTTATAGGATGTACCGATATCATGCTCAAAAAGAAAAGCTTTGGTTTGGTTTAGCTGACTGCGGCAAAACATACTTGGCCTATTAAGGGAAAGTAGGCCTTCAGAGAGGTCTTTCTAATGGAAATTGGCTCGCATATATGGTTACGCATTGGAAAACCATGTAAATGCCCATGCGTCCAGCTAGTTCGCCGGGATCCGAACTCCGGACCGAACTACCAGTATTCAGAGACTTTCGGCCAAGCTATGGCCGGTTTCCCAACATAAAGAGCAGACCTTGGTGATGCATTTCATATCTGGCCCACTAAAATGTTCCTCGGTGATAAGAATGCTGTCTCAGTTTTGAGATGAATCGTAAAGGTGTCGTCCTGTGGAGATAGGTCTGTGTGCGTCTTAGAGACCGTTAATAGGACCAATGAACATCTTGGAATACTATATTAAGCTGCTTAAAACTTACACAATTTCATAGCCAGAGATATAACATCTTGTTGCATGCAACATTCAGAATTTAGTAATAATTCCTGAGAGTACAGACTATGGGTGGAAAGTCTCCAAGTAGATTTAAAATACTAGTATCAAAATCTCCTTCAGAACTGAAATATTTTTAAGACTGAAACATTTGAACTGAAAAAGTGGACAGACCGACTGAGAAAAAGTACCTTCATATACACGGTTTACAGTTAACCTCTTTAATTTTGAAGAAATCTATCCTTATATGAACTTTTGAAACAAAACGTTTCTGTTTGAATTCTTTTTCATGATAAGAAAACCAAGCAAAATTTAACACAGCTATCACTTCCAAAGCAATGTTGATACCTCAAGAATAAAAGCAAGTATCAGTTGTATTTTGAAATTATTAAATCTTCAGCCTATACACAGTATTGATTTTAGTTGCCCTATACATCACTAAATGCGTTTTCATTTCACTGCGTATGTAGAAATTCGTATTTGACTTCATAAAACTTGAATTACTGTTTCCAAGCACCTCTTTGAGCATGCAAATTCAAGGCCTCATTTAAAGAAAGACATTGATTGCAGTAAAGTAGAAAGGAAAAAAAAACTAAAAAACTATTATGCAGAGGGATTGTATCTGTTTTTGAATTTACATTTAAATGATATGATTTAAAGTGTAAAGTATATGATGTTTTTTAACTGTCGGCTTTAAGGTCACCGGCCTTCACTATTTAACAAAGAAACAAGTTAAAGACAATGGAAAAATCGTAAAAAACAACCTTGTATTTAGCGTAGGTATAATGAAACACTCAATCGATTTCGAGGGCAGCTAAAGGTCCCTCCTCATCAGGAGAAAGAAATACATAGAAAGAAGAAAATAGGAGAAGGAGTCACAAGAAACACGTGGTCCTTATCAGCATCTGCACTGCACGTGGTTATAACTAGATTTTTAATCAGAGGTTGCACTGGCCGCCTACTTTTACTGAGCCAGGATATCTGATCAAGCATAAAGAAATATTAGCGAAGTTAAAATAGGGAGCGAGGGGCAAATGCACCTTACGCTCAAAATCTGAACTTCAAATAATGGAAAGCAACCACTGAAAGGATTTTTATACCCTCTGGTAGTACCAAACGCGAGGAGGTAACGCCATCTATCGGCAAATATAACTGAATTAAGATATTAGAATTTTAAAGGCATTAGGAAGGACTGGATTGGACTTCAAATCATTAACTAAACTTGCTAAATCTTTGTGAATGTGAAAAGTCTCAAGAAAATCCAATTCACCTATGGAAGAAGTCTTTTGGATGATTTTTGCAGACCCAAAATCAAAATTATGGTTAAAAGTCCAACTATGATACGCTATTGAAGACTTGTTAATTCGCCTTTTTTGACATAAGATTCATGTTCCTTGAAACGAAACTTCAACGCTCTTTTTGTTTAGTCAATATATCTTAAACCACACTGACACGATATACTATAAATTCCCCAAGAATTCAAGACAGAAACGCAATCATTTAGAATCGAAGGGTGTTTTTATTAATAGGGGAGAAACCGACTTGAAAATTGAATTTCTGGAGAATCCGTGCAATTTTATAGCTAACAAAGGATAAAATGGAAGCACGACAAGGTCATTAATATTATTTCTAACAGTGGAATGTCTTCTTTGATGGGAATCTGAAATTTTTTAACGGCTTTATCAATAATCCGGGACCGTGGATTTTCTTCTCCCGTGATTATTGATAAAGCCGTTAAAAAATTTTCAGATTCCCATCAAAGAAGACATTCCACTGTTTTTTTTTTTTTTTTTTTTTTTTTTTTTGTTTTTTTTTTTTTTTTTCTGTTAGAAATAATATTAATGACCTTGTCGTGCTTCCATTTTATCCTTCTGTTAGCTATAAAATTGCACGGATTCTCCAGAAATTCAATTTTCAAGTCGGTTTCTCCCCTATTAATAAAATTCACCCTTCGATTCTAAATGATTGCGTTTCTGTCTTGAATTCTTGGGGAATTTATAGTATATCGTGTCAGTGTGGTTTAAGATATATTGACTAAACAAAAAGAGCGTTGAAGTTTCGTTTCAAGGAACATGAATCTTATGTCAAAAAAGGCGAAATTAACAAGTCTTCAATAGCGTATCATAGTTGGACTTTTAACCATAATTTTGATTTTGGGTCTGCAAAAATCATCCAAAAGACTTCTTCCATAGGTGAATTTGGATTTTCTTGAGGACTTTTCACTATTCACAAAGATTTAGCATGTTTAGTTAATGATTTTGAAGTCCAATCCAGTCCTTCCTAATGCCTTTAAAATTCTAATATCTTAATTCAGTTATATTTGCCGATAGATGGCGTTACCTCCTCGCGTTTGGTACTACCAGAGGGTATAAAAATCCTTTCAGTGGTTGCTTTCCATTATTTGAAGTTCAGATTTTGAGCGTAAGGTGCATTTGCCCCTCGCTCCCTATTTTAACTTCGCTAATATTTCTTTATGCTTGATCAGATATCCTGGCTCAGTAAAAGTAGGCGGCCAGTGCAACTCTGATTAAAAATCTAGTTATAACCACGTGCAGTGCTGATAAGGACCACGTGTTTCTGTGACTCCTTCTCCTATTTTCTTCTTTCTATGTATTTCTTTCTCCTGATGAGGAGGGACCTTTAGCTGCCCTCGAAATCGATTGAGTGTTTCATTATACCTACGCTAAATACAAGGTTGTTTTTTACGATTTTGATTGTCACATTAGCGTGTTTCTCTTCTAGTTCTAGTTTAAAGACAATGGCTTTAGTACATAGTTTTTAGAACAAAACAACGGACATAGTATTAGAATCGATGTATAGAGAAAGTCTTTTATAATGTTAATCAAAGAAAAATACAGCTTGTGTAACGATAAAATGTCATTCTTAAAAGTTTTATTCTTTTTGGTTTATTTATTTCTTTAAATTATTAGGTTTTGTTGGCACAAGAGTCAAGAAAAATCAGCCATCATGAATCTCCGTGAATCTGTTTCCTTTGGACATGATTTGGAACTGCACATTTCCTGCCTTAAATAATAATAATAATTAAAAAATAATAAAATAATCTGAAAGTTTTCAGATTTAATATTACGCACATAGGAGCATTTTTTTGCATTTACACATACACACACGTTTTGAAACATTTGGGCTAACTCCTCCTTGGGTTAAAAATATTTAAAAGCAGCACATCTTTAGAATTTCTGATAGACAGTCTTGCGCCCTGGAGATAAAAATATTTTATTTCGTACAGTGCGTTGCCATTGCTCGTTTTGAAATCGTTGAGTTTAAGTTCATTAAAGTGTTACAAAATATGAAATCGATAACAAAACAAATTTCAGTTTCCAAATTCGGGCTTCCAGATGCCCATATTCAGTGGAAAATTACATTATTCAAAATTTGATGGCTCTAGGTACTGTTGTTTCATCACAATGCGAGAAACATACATACATCCATGCAGATTCTTCATTATTTAATTTCTTTAAATATAACACAGGGCGGTAATGTTTGGTGGCAACAATTTGAAAAATGATGCGGCCGTTTAGTGATTCGAAGCAAAATGCCGTTTTGAGACTAATATCCCTTCTGGGCTAATTCCCCTTTGGGCTAAAGAGACTATTAGAATATTTCAAAGATCCGGCTCATAACAAATAAATGAAAATTAAGAAATTGGAAGCGAGCATTGCTCTAACTCAGACGATAAAACACGCGATTATACCTTTAAATCAAAAGGGTGCAGATACTTCTAAAAGGAAAAGGTTATATGATAGAAATCTTGTCCCGAAACAAGCCCTTTTTCGCCTTAAACTAACCTGTGTGAGTAACTGGGACTATCTATGTTAACGACTGAAAAAAATAGAAATTTCAAGAAACTTCAGGATTAATCTCTGTATTCCATCTAAGTTGCTGACGACATGGTAACTAGTAAATCAAATATACAAGCTAAAATTCTCTGACCTATTGAGGAATGAAGCAATATTGTATTGTAGGACAAAAGAGCTATGTACACAATTCTGTGGCTTTATGAAAGCTTTAAATGAATGCACTAAACGTAACAACGTCATTTGTGCAATCTGATATAACGAACATTTCAATTACATAGTAAGTAAATATCATTCCGTCGCACTGAAATCTGACGCCACAGTATGACTCCATAAAAAATTTAAATCCAACAAATAAAATGCAAGCAACAATTATTATTTTAATAGTATCAGAAAAGGCAAACCAGAAATTATTTTTCAACATATTTCTTCGTCTGATGCAAAAAATAATTATCTTCTTACATCTTAATTAATACATTCGGTAATTTAAGTTGCTAATTTAACTACAGGAAACATTAATTATAACTTCCTTTTTAATGATCTATGCATTCATATATCATTTTACTCCGTTCTAAAAAAACTTTGCATTACAATTTAAAAATCAAAACTGTGAATAAATTTCTCTTATTGTATGCCTTTCATGATAAAATTGGAAGCCCGATGGGCTACATATTGGAGGTCCGCACTTCGAATCCCAGCTAGGGCATTGTTGACTTTTCATGTTTCTTGCTTCTAAATAAACGTAATGACTTTAAAAATCTGAACAAAATTTAAGACGGATCTTAGAATTTAGAAACTCAATTTCAGTCTAATTTTCCTCAAAAAAGAGTTTATTATTAAGATTTGACACTCTGATTTTATTTTTCAAAAAGGAAATTTATTTAAAACCGTTGTCTCACATTGTCGAGCGGAACGAAACATGTTATTCGGCACTCATTAATCGATCCAGTTTAATGCCTCAGATAGTCATCCTTTGACAAGTTCTATTTGAATCATTAAAAAGGGGTGATTAATATATCGTTTTTATCATTTTTTTTTAATTTTTCAGTTTGCAATGCTATTTGTATTATTTTTTTCCTTCCTACTATTATGGTAATTTCAATTTTAAAAATTGCACAATTGTTATAATAAGTTCAAACTTCCCGGACAAAAAGCGTAACTTGTCTTTTTAGAACACTTTTAATTTAGACCAAAAATTTTTCACCTTTAGTCTTTACCTACACCCTTTTTCTTCAGACAGGATAATAAGAATTTCTATTCCCTTTTGAACTCAAACTATATACGTATAGCTGTAGAGACATTAGAATTTTTTGGAAGCAGAAAAGATGAAAAATTAGCAATCGCCTTCGCCGGGAATCGAACCACGGACCTCTGGAATGCCAGCCCAGCGTGCAGAACCACTACACTACGAAGGCACGCTAGAAAAGTGGGAGAAATACCCTATATAGCTTTTATTGAAAAATATTACAGCTAAGATTGTTTTTAAGTGGTTAACTTACACTATAATAAGAAAGCACTTTCACGGTATCGAAGAAAAATTAAGTATCTTATTCCTCCCTGGCTGGCAACATTGGCTGTTTCGGTCAGATAGTGATTTATTTGCAATTAAAAAAAGTACACCTCTTTGATGCGTTAAAATAATTGAAAATTGTCCATATTTTTCCGCCTATGTTCAAACGGTACTCTGGTGTTGCTATGCTAACACTATCGCAGAGACAAAACTCTAATTAAAAATTATTGAAAAATTAAGATTGTTTTAAGTGGTTAACTTACACTATAATAAGAAAGCACTTTCATGGTATCAAAGAAAAATTAAGTATCTTATTCCTCGCTGGCTGGCAACAATGGCTGTTTTGGTCAGATAGTGATTTATCTGCAATTAAAAAAAATACACCTCTTTGATGCGTTAAATTAATTGAAAATTGTCCATATTTTTCCGCCTATGCTTAAACGGTACTCTGGTGTTGTTATGCTAACACTATCGCAGAGACAAAACTCTAATTAAAAATTATACCTTACTTTATGAACTAATAATAATAAGAAGAATTATTTAGAATTTAAGAATTATTTTGTAAATACGTATTATAAATAGCAACAAATATAATAATTTGTTGCTACGGGGTGGTTTCTCTGTGTTATACTTACAGTATTATTTTCTCTGAAATAAAAATAAATATAAGAGCTTTTAAAAAGGCCATATCAGCATAATGAAAATGTGAAAACATATTTGTTAGCAATTTCAGATTGAGTTGCTTAGAATCTTTACTTGATGCGATAAAAATGTAACATACGGGATTATTTACCTAAAACTTTCTCTTTTATTTCGGGAGAGATGCGTTTGTTTCCAACTTCGCTTTCCAGAAAAGAAACAAGTCCAGACAATGTATTTTCAGCAGTCGGGTCATCTGGAAAGTAAAGAAAAAAATTCTCTCAAATTTTGAAGATTTTACTCTTAACATTTACACGATTTTCTCTTACTTTTAATATTTACTTCACATAAGAAATAAATCTATTTCATGTGTCCCCTTTTCTGAATTACGTTTGAGTTAAATGCAATAAATAAAGGCAAGTACTTCAGCAAGAGCTAAATTATATATCATAATATTCACACGAATAACAGCATTTTACTTAACTGCATTGGCAAAATTCTGAAATGTATTCCATGAAAGTGCATTTTTTCCCTTTGATCAGAATACAAAATTTTGACTATTTACGTTTTTATAGATGGTTTAAGTCTTCGTTCTTTTCTAAATTAGAAAATTAGAAAATTACTTGCATAAAGAGGACAAACAGTTTTAAGTGTACTTAAAATGCTCATTCGCTTGTAAATAATTTGTGTCAAAATCCTTTTTACATATATTTTACTTGAGACTGATAGTCCCTAGAATTAAATATAAATTTTATTTTGTTTTTAATTTTACCTAAGATATTAAATTTTACTTCTTTCGTAAGGAGAAAATAGTGCGCAATCTTAAAACTAATTTTAGATAAAACATTCATTATACAGTGTAGCATGGTATTTTCTGTTCAAGTAATTAAAGCTGTATTTAAATACCGATCTCACTTATTTAAAATCTGAAAAACATTGTAGGTGTGACTTCAATGAAGAAGGCGTACCATTCCACTTTGTTATAAAATATCAACCAGGAGAATTTTACTGTCATTTAGAACTAAGAAAAGAAAACTAATATCTTACTTAGATCCTTTTTGCGTATAAACGTTAGAACCTGTAAACCCATCTGATCATCTGCTTTTGATCTTTTTTGAAAGTTTAGTTAGTTAAAACACGGAATAAGATAAAACTCAGACGAAGCTTGAAAAGAATTAACTTCGGACTGGTTACATCGCTGGCAGTAGTGTATATAGACTTAACTTAAAAAAAGACAAAACTTAAAAAATAAATATACATAGGGTATTTAATATAATTGTGCCATTATTGTAATAAGATGACTTGGTGAAAGACAGCTGCAGCGGATTGACGATGATTCTCCGCATTATAAACTGCGTACTTAGCAAGATGACACTCGAAGAACACACATAAGGATAAATTCCACGCATAATTTTATTCCTTGATAATGCACATCATCACTGTGGGTGCGCTATGCACCCCCCAATTTTGTACAGCAATGGACGCAATTAGAAAAGTAAACCCTGCTTGGCTGTCAGCAGCGAAAAAAAGCAGAAGTGAAGAGCGAAGGGGAAGTTGCGACGCAATTACTTTTTTATACCACTTCAGATCAAATGACAGTTGAATGTCCGGGTGTTGGGTTCAGATTTCATCGATAATTGCGCATCATTACTGCAGAGAGTTTTAGTTAGAAAATTATTACTCTGTTATTTTTGGAATGAAGACGAAAGTTAAAGGGCTATTATTAATCTATTATTTGAAAGATTCTGAAAGATAGATTTTTAATATTTTACATGTACAGAAAATGTTACATTAACAGATAATTATGAATTGAAAATCCATTTTAGTGAAATAATTGAGTTTTATTTGATGTTATTAAGCAGTTCAGGACTATATTAGTAATAAACAAAAATTATTAACAAGCGAACCAAATAGAAGCAATCTTAATAACTATAACTAACTGAAAATAAAAGAAAGAATACTAATCAAGTTATATTTGCAATAGTAAATGGATTTATGAAATACATAATCAGAGATATAGCTTAAGGGCTTTTCTGAGGCAAAAGAATTTATTATTTTTTTCAGGTCTAATTTACTTGCCTTTTAGTGCTCGATAGCGAAATATTGTTTAAACGTATTTGTCCAGAGCTACTTCTTCTGTAATCTTTAATGATTCTTAGCTTAGGAAATTATCTTTCTACTGTAGCAACAGTTACGGGAATCGTCAAAAATTAAACTGTATACATTTCACAAGAGTCGCTTTCCAATGAACGGTATTTTTTTTAACATTATATTCTCAGATTCTTGAATGGTCATACTTTTATTAAGGTCATCTTTACGCAACTGTAGTGCGTTTATAATTTGTAAATTCTAGTGAGTATTTCAGAATAAATATCTACTAAATTGTCACATTTTTGCATTAACTCAGTTTACATAACGAGATCACATAAAACCAGATCATTCTCTCACATCTGTCATGCCTATAAATCGATAATTTCTTTGTGCTAAAATAATGTCTAAAATGTAGTGAAATGCATTCACTACATTTTAACATTCACGGAATTGAAATTTATGTCGAAAATTTCAATTTATTGTTGAAAATTCATCAAAATGGCATTCTATCTTATTTTATTTCTTTCTTAGAAATTCTGAAGTAATATTGCACTTTCGGTCATTTATTTCGATTCTGCTAAAATAAGCTCAAATTCATTTCGCAGTTTCTTTGTATTTACGCAAGCGTTCTTTAAACATTACGTAACTTCATTTTGACATATATTAGTTTTGTGTAATATTTTTTAAATGTAATTTATTTCATTTAATACTTAATGAATAAATATACCAATAACAATAAATTCAAAGTTTTTTTTTCTTTTTTATCTGCAGCCATTCTTATTACTTTTTTTATTACTCTTAAGATGGATTTCAATTAAAACTTTCAGAATGTCCCCATAACGTAATTTTACTGCATTTAGCGAGGTAATCCAGCCTGATCAACGAGTTGATTTTAGTTATTTTTAAAATATTACTGATTCGGCTGTAAAATTTATTAGCAAATCACATCGGTTTACAATTTTTCCAATAGATTAAATATATATTTTGTAATATATAAAAAATAATATAATTTCTTTACAATCACATACGGCTCATTAATGACAAGTTTTAGGTTGTGAGACCAAACAGTGTACATATTCTGCATTTAGCTGAATAGATTTTTATGTTTTGATGGAGGTCATACACAGACACCATTCATAAGATAAGTGCTGTCTACGGAGAACTTGTGCACGGGGAATGACGATTTACGCCAGCTGAACTTTTTTACTTACCACTCAACAGCCCATTCTACTGTCTCAAAGCTCCATTACAAAACAGACATACATTCCATTATAAAACCTGCTCATTTCGGTATCTGTTACCTGTCTTTACGTTTTTTATACATATTTTTTTAATCACACAGTAGATACATCTGGTCAGTTGAAAGAATTTAGCAGATTGCAGCGAATGCGTACTCCTACATTCATATCTCCAAATTAGGAAATAGCTTTTTTTCATATAACTCGTGTAAAATATATTGCTTCTATGAAACATGTTTCTGCATTGAATTTAGGAAGCGTGTCATACAGTCCAATGTCTATTATATATTATTCATATCATGGGATATCACAAGACACGTCAAACCTGCCTTACTAGCGTTATTGTAAGTAAGCGTTACTTATGCGTTACTAACTGTAAGGTGCAACCCAAAAGACTCTTCTTTATCTCATAGAAATTTTTGACACATTTATCAGAAGACTTATTACTGATTTTGTGTATTTAACTATAAAAAAGTAAGGATGCCTTGAACTACATATTAAAATATAATTGTACCTCTTAAAATACTCTGAGAAAACATATCTTTAGCCAGCTTGTAAATGACTTCCAGGGTAAAATCAAAAGAATTACGAGCTTCCTTTTCCTTCGCTCTCCTCTTGAAGTCGTCGTCTTTAAACGATTCTACGGGTGAAGCTTCAGTTTTAGGACGCATTGTAGTACTTGCTGAATGCGTAGGTCCTTTAGGCTCAGAAGTCGAAGCAATAACTACTTGATGGGGATGCTCTGTAGTGACGACAGGGGCTGGAGGTGACTCGATGGCCTTGGATTCTCTCTTATCGTTCATCATTTGAGCAAGAAAATGCTCTCGTGGAGGATTAGACAATCTCTGTTTAAAAATAAAACATAAAAATAAATGAATAAAAGCTTGAAGAACTTAAATTCAGAACTTGGAGACGTATCTTACGTGAAGTGTGCAGTTATGTAATGTAGCGAACAATTAATTTTAAACAGAGTATATTAAAATATAACTTATAATCGCTCCTTACTGACGCCCAATTTACAAAATTACTCAGAATGATAAATCCGGTTTTAAAAAAGCTTTGCTTTACAGTTTACAAACATGGGAGTGGCAAATAATACAAGAAATGAAAAGAGAAATTTCTATATTTTGGTTATAAATGTCCTATGTGACTTTCTTTCGTTGTATGAAAAACGTATGAGGATAAATGTTTCTAGATTCGCTTCTGAACAACTTATATTATTGTAATATTAATATAAATTATTAGTTAAATTTAATGCAGTTTTTTAAATCACCCAAGCTTGTGCCAAAGTGAACACAGACGGACCTACTTGAGCACATATTGAAAGGAAAAGGTTGCATAGCGTAACATTCGTTGACCCAGAAGACCAGCGATGAAGTTACAACCTTTAAACCGACTGAACAATCAAATAAAACAATCGCATGGTCCTCCTGCATTTTACATGTACATCCTGTCTCTGGAATGCCAGTGCAGCCTTGTAAATACTCTTAGCTAATGATGACTCAAATATATAGCATAAAGCAATCTGGTCTTGAAAGTAACAAAAGATTGAAGTGCCAGAAACTGCAACATATAGGTAATTTCTACTGTGCAGTTGCCATTTCCACTAAAAACTGCTTTTCGTGGAGCCAAAATGATAACAGAACATTTGTTACTGTTCTAAATCTAAGAGATTTCTTTTTTCAAATCGTGTATATAAACCTAATAGATGGTTAATAATGTGGATCACCCTGTGGCCATTTGGCAAAACAGTTGAACATTTATCAGTTCGGACTAGGCTCAAATCCCGGCTAGCACGCTGATTGCTTGGGAGTTTCCGTGTTTTTTTCCATGTATAACATGAATACGAGTCGGATTCTCATGTGTAATGTAAATACGGACATATCCTTCCCGTTAGGTATCCCAAATGTGTTTTACCATAATTCAGTCAGATATGAAAACGTCAGACCTTGCAAACCACTCTACGTAATCTTGCCCCTTAAATTCCTCAACTTGCAATCAATGAAACCAGTCTACTTCTAAAACAAGATTTTTCTTTCGAATGGGCTTGTATACTTAATTTTTGTAAGATTAATCATATTAGCTCTTAATTAAAGTCATACCTGATTGGCTATTGCTTATTGAAGATCATTTTAAAAGTTATATTTTTAATGCCAAGCATGAATTAAGTGTCCCTCATATGAATCTTTAATGGCTTTTAACTATTACCATAAAGCTCCTGTCCAAATACGCTGTCTCTCGAAAGTTTAACATGCAATGTAAAATAGCGAGATAATCTGCAGAATTTCTTGGGTGAAAATTAATGCTAACTGTACATAATCGATGGGAATACGCATACTGTGATTTAGGGTGACAGATATAACAACCTAGGCTTTCAACATTGTTATCCTCTTTGTTCTTCCTGCTGCTGACTATTACGGAGTTAATTTTATAACTGTAGTTACGTCAGAAGGCGGGTTAAATCAGATGCCATGTTAATAATACAAAACAGATTTGATTTATATTATTAATCAGATGCGTATTTGAAATCTGTTTTGTGCCTTTAATATATTGATTTGTAAATGTTGAACTACTAATGTAACTGTGACCTGGTTTAGTTTTGTTTTCCTCTTTAGTCACTAGTTTACTTTTGTTATTCTCTTTAGCTGTAAACTTGAAGAAGTACTAATAAATATTTGAGTTGCTGTTATATCTTCACTGTTTTCATTTGTGTCAAGATAGGATGAAAACTCATTCATTAGCAGGCCCACGCCGACAATAGGTGCAGAGTCGTGCGGCGCACGACGGCGCCGAGTCAAAACGGCGCCAGGCAGTCATTAAAACAAGAGGCCGTCTCGCTGCCTGTCTAAACAGGAAAATTCTTGTCTTATTTGAACGTCTCCCCGAGGGTCGACTCAGGCAAAAGCTGAGAACCTACTGCTTATGATCTGAACCTAGGCAGTCTCGGCAACAGGTGTTTAAAATCTTTACAGGACTGGAGTCATTGCTGGAGATGGCTGGCTCAGGTTCGACAGGGACCATATGATGCTGTCTTGGCTGGTTCCGTTGGTTGTGGTGGAGCTATCTAGTCAGATATGATGGTTGTCCGGGACGAAACACCCCCCCTCAATCGGTGGAGTTGGTGAATTCTACGAACTGCTTGAGGTTTCCAGTGGGCGCCTGGAGCCTCAAAACTGCATATTCATATCCTTCCTTGGTTTCCGCCTGGGTGCACCTAAAACCGAAGTCTAGTACCATGACGTAGTGTTAACAGGCCGGATTGGTGGCCCGATCTGTCTGGCAGTGTTTAAGTGACTTCGGTCTGCTGTCCGGGGTCCAGGACGGGGGTGTAATATGAGTTGCTGAGGTTCCTGTGGACTCAGCTTAATCTTCGCTCGTCGGCTCGACCGATAGGTTGGGGCATTTAACTGTGTAAAAGCAGCCTCGCGTTTGTCAGGTCTGAGTGCCTCTTCTTTCTAACACACTGTCGTGTTTGACCGAAAAGTTATAACCAGGGCAGGAGTTCGTCTCCAGTGTTCTTTTCTGCCTTATTTGAAAGTGAAAATACGTGATGCCGATGCGTATGTAAAGTTAGACGCCGGCGCCGTAGACGTATTCGACAAATTTGCTTAATCCTTATTTTGTGTCTTCTATTGCAATCGTAGTAATTTGTGCAGCATTTATCTTTTTTGCTAATTGTTAAGCTAATTATTTCACTTTGATTTTATCTTCAAGGTAATGAAACGTATTTTTTAAGTTTGAATTTTATTAATATTACAGACATGATGGGGTCAAATTTTGCCATCATTTTTATACACTTTAAAAAATTCATCTTTCTTTTGAATAATTTTTTTTACTGGTACCACGGTGTTGGTGTTGGTGTATTTAATTATGGCAAAGCACACGAGGGCTATCTGCCTAAAGGGAGGGATGCCTTTCGTGGAGGACTTTCTAAGGGAAACTGGCTCGTATACACGTTACACATGGGGAAAACCACGAAAACGCCCATGCAGCCAGCCCGTTCGCGGGATTCGAACCTCAGACCGAACTACCAGTGTTCAGCGTCTTTACCGCTCGGCCGCTGGTGGGCACTGGTACCACGGAAGGCTAAGTTTTGTTTGGCTAAAAACTGAATGGCAGAGATAATTCTTTCAGTAACATCGGGCCAATGCTTAGTCTCTCTTTTTTTTTTTTTTTTTTTTTTTTTTTTTTTTTGAATAAATTCTGAAATTCTAAAACTACTGGTTTATTCTTTCGCAATCGTTCTCAGAAATCGGACCAAAGTTGTAGATTCTGGAAATGCATTTTATTTTTTTCATAAAGTTTTAAGTGTTAATTTAAGTGGTTACACTTATTAAATTCAGAACTACTAAATTTTACGTTGCTGAAATTGTTAAAAATTTTGCAACAAAAACGATAAACAGAATTTTTTTTCAGCAGAATTTAGCAATCAATCCTTTTTTGCTCTTTCGTTTGGCAAGATTCGACATAAACACAACTAAAAAGATTTAGGTCTATTTTTTGTCTTTGGGGAAACTAAAACTGGAAACCAGGTTTCGATAATATCCAGAACCATTTTCTATTAAGGCTTGAACTTGGGATAGCAATAATGGATTATATCCAACATAATCCGGAATCATCAGGCACAGGCAAATGCGTATCTACTGCAGAAATTGCAAATTTCACTAGTATCTCTTCTGTTTTTTTCAACCGGCAGCTTTGAAATTAAAGGTAATTTCCGAGTGAAAACACCTTCTAACTCTTTGTGGTTATTAGGTACCTTTGGTAATTTCAATGGTAGCTGAGACGTTAATGGACAACTATTGCTAATACTATCAGCTTGGGTATTCTTTGGGTTTGGGAAGAACCGAGAAATTTTAAAGTTCTGGTTTATTAAGTCTTCCTCTCGCTTTCTTTTCTTCATTAAATTCTGAAATGAAATGAAGGCGCAGAACAAGTGGAAGTAAAAATAAAAGTAGAAAATAACTATAATAAGAACTATTATATAAAACACTTCTTAAAAACACTCGGAAAATCACTGTTTGAAATATTTTACCTTACTTCTGAGAAACTGAGTATATCTTAAACTATTTCTGGGAAAATATATTAGATCAATACCAAATAATTTAAGGAGGTGAGGTACCTTTTTGTTTATTAAAATAAATAAATCAAATTTAAATTTGTATTTAAGATATAATGAAATAACGAAACACTTTCCTTTGGTTTTCCTTAGCGCTAAAAATCAGAAAATGGCAATTCTTAATATCAGAATACCTTGTATATTTTTACTTTACTTCAAATCTCAAATAGGTATATTTTAAATTCAGTGGTACTCCGTAAATATGTCAATCCTTTCTTCTCAAAAGATAGTTTTTAGTTTAATAAACAAATGGTTCATGTAAAAAAATTTTTTTTTCTAGTAATTATGCTCAAAACATCGCTTTTCTGAATAGCCAACCTAAATTTAACATAATATGTAACTGCGCTTACCCTTCTTTTTTAAGTATAATAACAACAAGCAATCAAAAAAAATCTGAAAGCTTTCAAATTCAGGATTTTTTTAACGTTTTGTGTGTTACCTTTATTTATTAAATATCATGTTCCTCGCCTTTAAACCATAAAATTCAGTTCAACAGCAATATCGCAAAATTATTTTAAAATCAGTATATCTGTAGAATTTCAGTCTCGCGCGCTGGAGATAAAAATGTTTATTCTTCGTACAGAGATATGCCATTTCTCGCTTTGAAATCGTTGAGTTTCTTAATAAAAAATTCTTTAATGTCTGACAAAGTATGAAATAGATAATAAAACAAATTCCAAATTAGGGCTTCCAGATTCGCTGGAGGATTGCGTTATTCAAAATTTGATGGCTTTACGTACCGTTGTTTTATCACAATGCGAGAAACATATACATTTATGTAGATTCTTCATTATTTAATTTCTTTAAATATAATACAGGGCTGAAATATTTGGTGGCTTCAATTTGAAAAGTGAATCGACGCAAAATGCCAAAACGAAATTAATAGTTTCTGTGCTAACGCCCTTTGTTCTGAGATATATAAATGTTGCACAAATTACTACGATTGCAACAGTAGACACAAAATAAGGATTCAGCAGTTTGTCGAACACGACTACGGCACCGGCTTCTACCCTTACATATGCATCAGCATCACGTAAGACAGCTTATGTCAAAAACTTCAAAAAGCATTAACTGATAAAAATCAAACCGATATAAATAGTATAGATCTTATACATGAACTGCAGTTTTTGCAAACTTCTGAAGAAAGTATAGCATCGCCGGTTGAAACTCTAAGCTATATCATTGTCAACAACATAGTGTTGTGTTGAAATGAATTTTGGATGTATCCCTTATAGCATTTTTTGTGTCCTGTTGTAATCAGAGTTTGAACGTTGTCGTAAAAGACGCTGCTAACAACAATTTATTCGGTGCAAACCTATTAGCTATGTAAATTAATTTGTTTTTAATTTTAAGATAATAAATAGTGTTAAGTAATATATTTGGTTTCCAGTGCGTTTAGTGTATTATTTCGCTTTGCTCGCAGTGTTACTTTTTTTATAACATAAATATATGTGTAATTCTTCAATAAATATGTTTGAGCGTGGATTTTAACAAAGCACAAAATGTTTGCACATTTAGACAAACTGAAAGATAAAATGTAATTTTTTTGTTTCTCATATTATAATGTTAATAATGCTTCATTTTAAGTGTTAACCATAAGCAGTTTCCCTTTAATATCGTCACTGCATACAGGCGCTCGATAGACATTTGCACGACGGCGCCAATTAGGCTTGGCGCGGGCCTGTTCATCAGTGTAGTTAATTCGTGTCGATTTAAATTCAAGTGGTTTGTGCGTCATACTAGCACTCTACCGTTTTAAAAATTAAACTTAAGCTGAAAGGTCTTGGTGAACTTGTTTGTATAAGTTCTTGAGCTGAATACTAAACCTATAGCTAAAATTTGTTTCTTCTGCATACGCATTAGACAAGAATATAAGAAATTTCTGTGTGTAAAGATTTTGCCGATTGTCCATTAACACTTTATGAAATGACCATTTGATATCATCCCTAAAAGATACTCATAATGCAAATTGGTTGTATGCAGTAAAGCGGAAAATGAACTATCACTTTAAACTTACCATTGGCATTTTCGGAACTTGCATCTGGAGATATGCTGTCGGAATTTTAAATTCTTCCGTCTTTTTTAGTTGCTCATTTTGTTGTTCTTTCATCCTCTCCAGAATTTGTTTTAGATCTTGCAAGTAGTTTATAGCATCCGTACGACCGAGCTATTTAAAAATGCGTTCATAACATATACACAAATTTAACTAAACAAAAACTGTTTTCTAAATTATTATATTATTAATGAGTATAATAGTCTACAACAAGTTTGCCACATTTTTTTACATACCAGACCTTCTCTTACAAGCTCCTCTACTGCCACTGCAACTCCTTCTTCATCGCCAGTGGTAATAACATACTTAGCGAGGTCTGCGGGAGAGTACTGGATACCAGGAAATCCAGAATATACTTCATTAGGCTGAAAGTTTAGAAACCCTTCATTAGGAATGCAATGAATTCGATAATAATGTATTGAAAAGCCATTAAAATTTAAAACCACTGGATTTGATTCAGTTTGATCAGTAATATATTTGGTTTCCAGTGCGTTTAGTGTATTATTTCGCTTCGCTCGCAGTGTCACTTTTTTAGAACATAAATATATGTGTAATTCTTCAATAAATATGTATGTTTGAGTGTGGCTTTTAACAAAGCATAAAATGTTTGCACATTTAGACAAACTGAAAGATAAAATGAAATTTTTTTGTTTCTCATATTATCATGTTAATAATGCTTCATTTTAAGTGTTAACCATAAGCAGTTTCCCTTTAATATCGTCACTGCATACAGGCGCTCGATAGACATTTGCACGACGGCGCCAATTAGGCTTGGCGCGGGCCTGTTCATCAGTGTAGTTAATTCATGTCGATTTAAATTCAAGTGGTTTGTGCGTCACACTAGCACTCTACCGTTTTAAAAATTAAACTTAAGCTGAAGGGTCTTGGTGATGACTCCAAACAGTCTTCATTACTTATTTTGCAAGCAAACACTTAATTCTTATTAATATACGTTCATGATGTTACTTTGGCGAATAATTAAAATTAGATTTATAGTTTTCATTCTGTTCAGAATAACATTTCTACTACAAATTAAATATGATCAAATGAACTAAACATATGAAGTTTATTTAAGCGCGCTAAAATCTGCTACTGCTAAGGATGAGAAATAGAATTACAAGGAAATAAATTAAATTCATTTGCGATTATGCTAAAGATTTATAAATGACAGCATTTAGATGCATACTATGGAAAATGATGTTTAAAATGTTTTATCGTGTCTAAAAATGTCCCGATACTCTGAAATGAAACAATAGCTAATTTAAGGGTGAAGATACCCAGCCAGAATGAACACAAAATATTGAAATCTCCTGTAAAAAAAATTAGCCTGATTATCCTCATTTAGACTCAAAATCATCGCATCAGTAAGAAGGCAAACTTTACGGTTTTGTGACTTTGTTTAACTAGTTTGTGCTACTTGATGAAATAAATCCACAATATTATTCTTTGTTGTGCTAATTTGGCGGACATTTTTCAAAGAAATTTTGATTTTGACTAATAAAGTGTCAGTTTCCTACTACCTAAGAAGTATATGGATACTTAAGCGTATAACTTTTATACATATTTCAAAATTTCATCATTCTCATGATATTGAGACATACAGTTATAACGAAGTTTATTATCATAATACTTATTACAGTTAATTGTTAGAATTGTTTCGCATAGTTAGTCTTTAGAACTGCTCTAGGGAATAATCCTTTTTTCCATACACAAGAAATAAATCTGTATGAGTCTTATCTATAGATCAGAGAATTGTGTTATAAGGTATTTCTCCCACTTCCCTAGCGAACCTTCGTGGTGTAGTGATTCTGCACACTGGGCCGGTATTCCAGAGGTCCGTGGTTCGATTCCCGGAGAAGGCGGTTGCATATTTTTCATTTTTCCTGCTTCCAAATAATCCTAATGACTCTAGAAATGGCGCCCGAACTAAAAATGGTTGTGGATGATGATTCTCCGCACCCAGGATTTGGCGACTAGGTCCCCTAAAACCCTAGTCGCCCTTTAAAAAGGGCAGTATATAAGGTATTTCTCCCACTTTCCTAGCGAGCCTTCGTGGTGTAGTGGTTCTGCACACTGGGCCGGATTCCAGAGGTCCGTGGTTCGATTCCCGGCGAAGGCGGTTGCATATTTTTCATCTTTCCTGCTTCCAAATAATCCTAATGACTCTACAGTGGAAATTAAAGATATTTTCAATAGAAAACACAATTATCTTCTAATGCCCACCAAGGTGAATATGTTGCTTTAATAACGCATTATTTACACTAGTTTTGATTGATTGAAAAGATCTGAAGAGCATTTATATCTCTCTTAACAGATATAAATTATTTGAAGGCGACCACTATAAGGCATCACTAAAAATAAAAAAAAAAAAAATGTAAAATTATAAGTAAATAATTAGATCTAAAAAAGCAAGAATATTTCGATCAGGTTATTTATTAGAATAAAGCCTCATGGACTATTTGCTTTGGAAAGGATATCTACCAAAATACTTTTTTTTTGTGAGAGCCTTGCTAGTACTCACATTGGACTTGGGAACACCTTTGTTTCAATACCTCGTTCTTTTGCACAGTACATAACCTGTACCAGTAAGAACTGTAAAGCATCGTAATGAGTTAATCATATTTGATATTTTATTTCCTTAAATATAGAAAATGTTTTATTTTTAAAAGCATTTAATGATAATACTATTTCTTGAAATCACAGCAGCTCTAATACATTTGGTTTGGCTCAAAATTTCGTATTGTACTTAACATAGCAACGTAGTTAAAAGATTCACTTTTATATTCAGCTCATCTGCAGGAGTCATATACTGTTTTATAAAATCTTTCTCGGAACGTTTCTAAATAATTAATTTTATTTAATTCTTTACAAAGGACGAGCAAAAATTTCGTTTCAGGTGTCAGAAAACCGCAGATAGCCCATGTTTATACTGCTCAACTGTGTATTACCGATATTGGCGTGAAACTCAAATATTATAGGCAACAAGACCAGTTTAAGGAATTTCGGAGCTATCCGGAAGAATGCCTATACGGGCTTTCACTTGGGCTTTCCTTTAAAATTTTATTCATGTGATTCATTTTTTATTGCCTATTCTGAAAGTTGCATAATTTATCATCACTAATCATACTGTATTTTAATAAATACAATATGTAATTTTATTTAAGTATATACTTTAGTAATATTTTCATATATTAATAATATTTTAAATTGCATGGATTTCCCCCCTAAATGAAATAATTTAAAAACATATATAAGTAATAATTAAACACCTTATTATGTTAATTAAAATGCAAACATTTCAGTTAAACAAATGTTAAGTGTGCACTTTATTTTCATTTAATTGAGAAGTACACATATGTACTCTCTTAAGCATGCAATACTGCAAAATCGCATGAAAAAAAAAAAGAGCTAACCCCAAATTGTTATAATTTGTAATACAGAGCTAACCTCTTGAATTTTAAGATGCTATGTTCTAATTCTTTACTTAAAAGAATACCGTCATTTCTTTGTTAAATTATACTTGGTTAAGAAGGAAAAACTCCCCAACTTCTGGCATTTGTTTAAAAAAAAACCACAAAATATTTGCTCTCCAATCTAAACTCTGTGCTCTCTTCATTCTAAGCTTCTCTATAGATATTTTCCTTCTAAATTTCTTATATCTTCCTGTTCAGCAAGAAATAAGAAAATCTAAGATCGGCTTTGCTTCACCTCAGTTAAGGTATAGTCTTTAGTTTGGGATAACAGTTTTAACATTTTCAATCCTCGCATTTCATCTAGTTTCACAAAAGGATTTCAGTGCCAAAGTTAATCAGTTAATGCTAAGGTTAATGATGGTTAATCAGTCACGGAAAGACATATCCAAAAACATATATACATATAAAATAGTAATTCAACGCGGCTTCCTCTAACGGGATCCTTTGCTTCTTGAAATTCTTAAAAAATTTCTTCAATGGTAGCAGCACCAATTTCATCATACACCACAGAACTTGAAGTTGCTTTTATTTTTTCATCTGCTGCAAAGTTGGGAAGAATCATAAATTTTGTTCAACACGAATTTTAGAACGTACTCCAATTTTCCAAAATTTCTTCAATGGTAGCAGCACCAATTTCATCATACACCACAGAACTTGAAGTTGCTTTTATTTTTTCATCTGCTGCAAAGTTGGGAAGAATCATAAATTTTGTTCAACCCGAATTTTAGAACGTACTCCAATTTTTCTTGAAAATAAAAAATGAAGAATGAAAAATTTTAAAACTTTAAGCATAATATTGAAAGTCCTTAACCAAAAATAAAATTTGAAATCTACGTTTCATAAAAGTGAAATTTAAGAACGAAGTTTTTAAAATGCTTATATACTAATTAAGGTGGTGCAAATTATATTCATCGAATGAAATATACAATTAAAATATTTGGGGTTTGTTACATGAATATAATTTGAAGAAAGCATTTGAGTAATCATTCAAATTTTTTAATATATTTCAGGATCTATTTAAATTAATGTGTAAGAAATTATCGCATTGTCCTGTGTGTGCTGTCGTGATATAAATGGTTAACAAGTCCAGACAGTAAATGTAAGATCTATAGCTCGAATCCTAGTAAGGACATAGCTGGTTAATCCTGTTTCGGATTTTGAAAAAGATAAAATATCTCTGTAACGAAGTCCAAATTAAAGTAATGGTGGACGGTAATTCTTCACCACCTGCATTTAATCAACTGGGTTTCTTCAGCCACCTTTTAAGTGGGAGAAAATGTAAAATTATCGATTCTCAGCGAATGGTCTTATGGTATTAGTAATTTCTGGGTTTGAGCACATCCAGTCAGTAAGTGGAAAATCCATGGTTCAAATCCCGACGAAGCTATAGTTGATTACTTCGCAGTTCGTGCTCCAAAAACGTAATAGTCACAACAGATGCAAGTATAGAGAGGAAAGGGCCACTAGAAAATTAAGAGATTGGGGAAACTTTGAGTCACGGTGAGGTGATATTGAAGATACACATCCGCTGAAGCGCAGTAATCGAGTCCCTTTTTAAATAATTTTATGGATGTCAATAAGACTAGTTTTTCTAGGTTTTGAGTTAAATAAATTGATGGTTTTTAAGTTAGTTTCGAAAGAATCGAATATCAAACAAAAGAAGAAAAGTTCCGATTTTTGAATCTGATTATATAATCATGGAATTCGAGGTTTCAAATGGCCCTGATCTGTTCTCTCCCTATTCACATTCACCCTTAATGAAATTTACAAGTTTACAATAAAAAAGCATGCCTTTCTTTGTTATTATCTTGCAGTCGTATCGATTGTTAACGCGTAAAATGTAACGATGTGCTATTCAGCTTTGAAATTTTATTACATCATGAATAGTATATATCATCTGTTGAACTGCAATTTCAGTTTATACAAGATTTCCAGTATTTAGAGCAATATTTTCCTCTGAAAATCCATTTGAGTCTGAAAAAATGTCTGGAAAGTATGGGAATGCCTCAATTGTGATTTGTTGCACGACTTTAAACCGGTTCTTATGTACGTATGAAATGTATGGTTTTTTACAAAAGCAGATTCCACAGTTAGCCGGGTTTTGTAACAATAAAGGCTAGGTGGATTCATTTACCAAAATTTTCAGGTCCATTGTTTAACAAGTAGCCCGTAAGGTGTATTTTAATTTTATAACAGTTATTTTTAATTTTATAACAGTTATTTTTAATTTTGAAACCCTTTCCTTCCAATTCTTGTTTTCCACTGCCAAAATGAGTTTTTAGAATCGCGTTGAATGCAAATGAGTTAAAAGAAGTACTTAAAGGAAAGTTCAGCTTACTTTGAGAGAGAGTGCTTAGGAGTCCTTAATGGCGCGTATTTGCCTTCTGGCTACTTCGTTCATGAATCTATTACACTCGGCCGTATTGTACGTGCTTGTTGAGAATAGCCGGTTAGGTTAATTTAAGGGCCAACTACGTTAGGTATTTGTGTCTAGCTTCGACTAAGTCTATTTAATTTAGAATTAGATTAGTTTCTCATTTCCTTATCCTGGTTTAAAAGCCAAGTGGAGGCTTTCCTACAAGCCCGAGATGGGCCCATCCGTTATTATTTCTTTGAGTGATTAAAAGGGGTATTTTAAGTCTCTGTATCAACTACTTTAACTAAGCGATAATTCGCTACTTAGTTCACTAGGTTCCTTGACATTTTATCCAGACAAACTATTGAGGAACAGTATAATTTATCTAGACAAACTATTGAGGAACATTATAATTTATTTAAACTATTGAGGAACATTATAATTTATTTAAACTATTGAGGAACATTATAATTTATTTAGATAAACTATTGAGGAACATTATAATTTATTTAGATAAACTATTGAGGAACATTATAATTTATTTAGATAAACTATTGAGGAACATTATAATTTATTAGATAAACTATTGAGGAACATTAATTTATTTATATTAGATTGATAAACTATTGAGGAACATTATAATTTATCTAGATAAACTATTGAGGAACATTATAATTTATCTAGATAAACTATTGAGGAACATTATAATTTATCTAGATAAACTATTGAGGAACATTATAATTTATCTAGATAAACTATTGAGGAACATTATAATTTATCTAGATAAACTATTGAGGAACATTATAATTTATCTAGATAAACTATTGAGGAACATTATAATTTATTTAGATAAACTATGAGGAAACATTATAAATTTATTTAGATAAACTATTGAGGAACATTATAATTTATCTAGATAAACTATTGAGGAACATTATAATTTATTTAGATAAACTATTGAGGAACATTATAATTTATTTAGATAAACTATTGAGGAACATTATAATTTATTTAGATAAACTATTGAGGAACATTATAAGCTGATTACCAACAGTTCTGAGGTTAATGAACTATTTCTCTGTTTTTTGCTTATAAATTCATTAAACCATGACTGTATAATTTGCAATTAATTTTATTGAATTATTCTTAGCTAATAATTTTCATATTATATGATGTAAATGTTAATTAAGAAAGACATTCTGTACAAATAGCGTGTGTTTAGTTATCTTTTACAGTTTAAGCAAATATATTTTTCAAAAGTGCACAGTAAGAGACATTCTTTGATGAAGGTGCAAAAAACTAGTATCACTTTTGGAAACTTTTTGCAGAATGGGAATTATTGATAAGCATTAATGAAATGAGAAAGTCATTTTGCTTTCGACTATAAAAATGCTATCCACTGACCTGTGCATTCCAGTATTTATTCTTTTTAGCTTGTGTTATCCCTCTGTGACGAAAAATGGCACTACGGCTATTTGGTTGCGGATCACTTTCGTCAGTATTGGGAGTTGCTGTTGGTTGCACTGCTTGCTGTTCTTTCCCACTATCTTGTGGGCCACTTTCTGTATTGTTATGCTTGCCTAAACATTTTTTATAGAATGGTACATTACCTAAATTCAACTGCATGAAATACATCCGAAATAAAAAAGCATTAATGCAAGTTGTCATTACTTACTGTTTTCATTCCTAAGACTTTCGAGTTCTTTTACTTCATCATAGGCCTAAAAATAAAAAGAAAACAAGAATTGTTGAAATAATTAGCACATAAACGCAGCCTTTTTTTTTTGTCTAGATAGTAAGCTAACAAAATTAATAATATCTTTATTTATGAACTTAAGCTTATTTTATATTGTAACTGTGTCAGGACTATGTGTCCTATGCGTACTCTTGGCAAACATATTGGTGACAGTATCAAGGTCCTAATCTCGAACAGTGAGCTGAACGCAGCTTTGTTTTTGTGAGTGCTAGAAGAACTACAACGTAAGAAGGGTGTAAAATACCCTTTTATTTAAATCACTATTTACAGCAACTCCCAGCTCGGGAGTGATAACAAAAAAAATAATGACCGCGCTTGTGTCTAAACTGAACAATCAAACAATTTAAAGTAAAGCTTCAGTAGACATTTAAATAGTCGCTGTTCATAGAGCTTAAACGCGAGATTGGCCTATCTCTGGTGCGTAGCAAGCCTTAGCTAAGTACTAGTAAGTTAAATCACTTCAATAAGTATTAGAGTAATAGCGCTAAGGCGTAAGAATTTAAATACTAACTAGTCTGGCGAACGTCCACCGAGCCGAAGTGGTCTGAGACTAAAAACTCTCTCACACTTGAGAAGTTTCTCACTAACCTTTACTCGTAAATACAAAAACTTGGCTCCAAAACAAATTAGCATAAAGCTGAACCGCGCGCTCATTCTGAAGGGAAAAGTTGAAATAAGAGTTTACAGGAAAGGGTAACTTAAAATAAAAAGAAATTTGGTTAGTTTAAATTAAAACCTTACAACTGCACCTACTGCTGTAAAATATATTTAATGTAGAACTGTATATAGTATTTACATGGATAAATTAGTACCTTATTTTCAGTTCAAAACCTTTTTTGCCTCATTTTACATATGCCAGGATGTCATTCCTTTCTCCTGTTTTTTAAGACATTTCGATTCCAAGTTGCATATCAGATAATATACAAAAAGTGAATTATTTTATTTTAGCACACGATTAAAGTTGTATTTGAAATTTACTTCGATTAAAGAAAATAATGAAAAATTTGAGTTGGGTTATGGTAATGGTAAAATCTTAATTTTTTTCTCGTTTCCTCTCCCTTTGTGATTTCTCTATGAAATATTTTTCATTGCTAGCTCATGTCTATAAAGTGAGGGTAACAAGCAATGATGGGATTCAATTATTTTGCTCCGATTCGGTAGAACCGCTTTATAAGTATTTTTAGTTTAGTAAATCGGGTGTTAAAATTGAGTTGTAATAATAATTTAAGTAACTTATAGCTACTTAATATCTAGTTTCCTCTCTTACTTGGGCAGCGAACTCATTCTTAAAATATTTGTATTCATTGATTGATTACAAGTTCAAAGAAACGTGGGTTCCATGAACCGTTCATTAAGATTTGTTATGGAACATATTAAGTCATGATTAATTAAATTTTAACCTATATGCTTCAGACCAGCCACTTTTACACAGCTTCTGTTACACCTGAGATCTGAAGATGAGTTATTAATTTCTAACTTGACGAATTGCTTAGTAAATTTCATTTGATTTGATTTTTATCCTTTTATTGAATTCAACATCATACACTTCAAAATAATATTAATTAGCATTAACATGTGATCGGTATTTGGATTTGATTCTTAAAATTAATATTAGAAGACAGCGATTAGTATTTACAGAAGTATACCATTGGGTATTAGTTTTATGATAAATGCCTCACGAAAATTCCATTTATTTAAAACTTGGCTTAAATTTTCTTTAATGGCTCAGGACTTTTCAAATTTCTTTTGCTTATCGTCACTCTAATTTGTGCAAGAGCATCGCATTTAATTAAGCTAACAAAGACATGTTTTTAAATCAATGCACATTAATGGAGTTACTGGAAAAATAATTTCCGTTAAATTGCTTGTTGCAATATTTAACGGAAAAATAATTTCCGTTAAATATTGTTAAAATTGCTTTTGCTGTCCCTTCCACATGTCATAATATTTTTGCGATAATTTTAGTGAATCCCATAATCCTGATTTCGAACTACAAAGTTACTCCACTTTTCGCTATATCTACCAAACCTGAATTCGTTTATTAAAAAAACATAACATACTCTTTTTCACTTTCAGTTGACATCAAATCTGTATCGGAAGGAGTTTTTTCTTTTTTTAATTCCTTCAAAAGCTGAAATATCCGTACATCTATCTATCTAGAAACACAATGCCTACCTTAAACAGTGCTGGATAAGGGGTAGTCTGTATGGCCAGTCGCCCGAGGTTCTAGACTGGATAGGCAGGCAAAAGTCACAAAAACTTAATTGAACTGAATTACTTCCCCGAAGTTAGTAGCATATTGAAGGACGGCAGAGATACTTCTAACTTCAGGCACTAGAATGTTTTATCCCAGCATTAATAGAACATATATTATCAACAAAATATTGTACATAAGCTTGTCATAAACTAATATGTAGCTGTAAAACTAATCTTTCTTGAAAATGGCTTCAAATTTTCGTTGTCTTTATCAAAGATTTGATTCAAGGTTGTTACATGGAATTATCAAAAAGCTGTTTTAGAAATTTATATAAATTCTCTATCAACGAACATTATAAGTTAAAGCTGGTTGGAATTTTTTTAATATTGGCATGCTTAAAAATATTTATATAAATTCGATGTATAAGTAACATCTGTAAGGTGTAATAATAAATTGCTATCTTAAAATATCTTATTTTCAGCTGCTATGCACAGCAATGTAATCGCTATCGCTTTTCGGTACCAGCACATTTGAAGTATTTTGCCATTAATGTACATACTACATAGAATCTTAGTCTCTCGCAATAATTAAGACTTTTAACTTTTTTTCCTGTAATTACTCAATCATAATTTGTGCAATAAATACTTTTTGAGAAGAACATAGCAAGTACTTTATTTAAGAACAATTTTAGGGGAAGAGAAAATTTTTAGGATATCATATTACGTCAAAGTTACCTAACCTAAAAAAATGCATTTAAAAATCCAAGTTAGTTTTCGTTTGACTTAAGAACACTTAAAAAGGAGTTACACTGACTTAAACACTAGACTTTATTCATTAACGAGCTTCAAAGTTGAACTATTTAAGGTTACATTCATGCAAGTGATGTATAAAATGCGTCAAAATTCTTTTTAATCCGTAATTCACAGAAACATATAACATTATTATAAAAAATGTGGAAGCACGTACACAGAATAATCTATTAAAAACAAAATAGTTCAAACAAGCTGAATCAACACAGAGAATCCTAAAGCGAATTTTTTTTCGTCTGAAATATTACAACGAAGTCATAAGAAGGCTTTAAATAACTCTTTTTATTAACTTGTAAGCTATTTATTTATTTTAAATAACCAGGTATTTTATGTTATGCATTTTTATTGTCACTTCGCCCTTTCCGTTTTTCTGCCAGAATACAAATTTTAGCTCGCGCATATTTAAATGATGTAGATAGTATATAAAGGAAGATTTTAGATTACCTAAGATAGAGTGTGTTCCGCCTGCTGAAGGCCACGTTACAAGTTGATATTCTACGATTGCATTGCTGTCTATAGCGTTACTTTAATCTTGCAAATAGCGCTGTCAAGCCAGTTTAAATTCGAGCCAAATTGCGCACTGAATATTTCTACGTAGCATTTAACTAACTTAATACTTAGATTTTATTTGAATTTGAATTACATTTAATTAAGCTAACAAAATTTGCTTTCCAGTTTACGCCATAAATTCTAGCTGGATTTTTAAGAACCAGGTGTGGATTCTGTTCAGCTATTTGAGTTCTTAATAAAATGGTCTTTTATACCCTTGTTATATTTTTTGTGTGCTTAATTAGACATAGCGATAATTTGCATAGTTCTGCTTAGAGTCTTGACTTAGTGCATGTTACGAAAGAGACTGAGACTTTACAAACTCTTGAAATGAAGAGAAAGCACAGTTTGTGAGTACAAAAAAAAACTCGACCACTGAGGGAATTTAAATAACAAAATTCAAATTTAAAGTATTGTAGTCGGAGGCTTCATAAATTGGCATACTTGAACTGACTCAAAACTTTAATGGCGCATATTAACATCGTCTAGCAAAATGTTTCAAATCAGAATATAAACAGCAGAGCTGTCTGGTAGAAAATAAACTGTGAGTGCCGTTGCCAAAAGTTCTGTATCTAAACCATTCAAAACCCTAGCCTTAAACACACTTCAAACTGACTTGCATCCTGGTGAGCGCTACGAAAAGGAGAAATTGTAGTAAAGGTTTAAATCACGTTAAGTGGTTCATAAACACAAAATTCCTTGCTAATGGAATAAGATGGAATAACTATTTCTAAATTTAGGCACATATAGCAACTATTTTTCCGAAACCAAATAACTCAGCAAACCCGGAGATGCAATGAGATCATGAGCCACAAGACAATTATTACCTTCAGCTTATTGTCCTAACCGTTCTTAATTTTTGAATCTTTAATCGGGAAGTTTAGAGCTACCTCTCCTAAATTAAAATAAACTTTATATTTGTTAAAAATACTTAGAAGCTTAAGGAAAGATTTAAATGATTAAGCACAGTATGTTACAAAATGAGGAATTCTGTACGACTCTTCTTTGCTAAAAAGCTATCAGTTTAAAAACTAAGAAAAAATTATTCTTACCTCTTGATCTGCATCATTTCCTACAATAGAAAAGAAAAACATAACTAGCATTATATGGTAACGTTATAAATAAACATGCACATTTACTCCTATTCACGTATTTTTGAAATTATAAATGCATATAATCCTTAGAAATATCATTTTTAATCTCTTTTTGTGGTTATTCATTTCTGCAGCAATGTTATTTACATACAGAAATAATAAGTTAATAAAAAACTGAAATTAATAAGAATCTAAGAAAAGCAGTTACTGAAAAATTACAAAGTATCAGCTTTAGAATTAATTTTATTTTTTAATAAAATGATTGCGTCAGGACATAAAATTCATTTAAGTAGCAGTTACAAAACTAAGCATAAATGTATCGTTTGTGTAGATGTGCAAATAATTAGAATTTTAAAGCAAAAAAGCATTTTATTAAGTGATAATGATAAAAAAGAAGATAGCATTTTAGTAAGACGTAAATTCCCTTCCAGGTTGCTATACAAATGGATATTTTGCTACAAATTTCCTTACCGGTGAGCTAATTCAATAGAATTCGGAGAAGACTACAACTGAATTCCTACCACGTCTCAGACATTTTATATTAATGATACTTCTGGAGCTATAGATACACGGATAGCTATGAGGGAGTATTAAATCCTTGACAGACATTATCCTAGGATCTTACTTAGGTAAACCGAGACTAACAGAGTATACAACAGTGGAATTTGGATTCACTCGTTTGAGCTTTAGATGAGTTCTTCGTGTCCTCCGCGCAGCGAAATGAACTCCCCCGGCAAATTCAACTCTCTTCTCGCGAACGCCTGAACATAGTCAGTACATCTTGACAACATAGTCAGTACAGAACATAGTCAGTACGCCTGAACATAGTCAGTACATAGTCAGTACATAGGACGCCTGAACATAGTCAGTACATACTCAGAAGTCAAACAACAACCGCGGTTTTGCAGCTGAAGATGATGGTTCGGTAAAACCATCGAAACTAGTCCTGTGAAAATTTTGTAGGTATAACGCTGATTTTTGTTGTTTGACTTCTGAGTATTTATTCGGCGTGTTATTGTGTCTTAATTATAGTCAGTACATCTTGACAACATAGTCAGTACAGAATATCGTCGACGTCTATTGGGAATCATTTAGAAAGCCTCGAGAGCTAGAGAATATAGATCGTTAGAGCTAGAATGAGTGAGTGACGGGAGAACGCGGGCACCATCTCTCTACCATATGGTTAATTGGCCTCGTCTACCTATATCTTCATAAAAAATATACATATATATATATATATATATATATATATATATATGCATATATGCATATAGTGAAATATATAGGTGAAATAGTTGTTTTCCAAGTCATATTTTCAGAGTTATTCAAAAGTCCTGATATAATAAACGGTTTAAAATTTCTTTAATGCAGAGGAAGTGTACTTTATATTACACTTATTATGAAGTGGGACACAAGTCTGTTCCAAGTGCGGATAGTTTATTTTTATGGCTTGGGTGACCTTTTCAACTAAATACCGCTGTTTGATTAATGTATGCTTGCTTATTTGTTGTTGAAATTTTTATATGTAGACTATCGATTAACGAGCAGCTTGTCAAGTTTTAGCCTGTATTTCCTTTTTCTCCGCAGCTTCAGATTTCTGTGTTTGTGATTCTAAATCGTGCAAAATAAAGAGAGGATGGACCATGCCCCGAGATGTATCTTACTAACTGCGGGTTATTAATATTTCGGTGTGTGTCTAAATATGCAGTCTGGTAATATGTTCTTCGGTCTTTGTATCACTAAATCACAAAGGTGTCAGTTGCTTTCTTGAGCTGTGATACAGCTATAAGATCTCAGTGATCTGCCGTTATTCCCGTTGCAGCATCTTCTACAAGACGAACTTCTATCTCATTACCATGACTGCCAGCATGTGCCAATTTACTCTAGTGTGATATTGTGATTTTTAAATTTTTCTTAGGTCGTTTTATATGGCTGCAAAGATTGGTGAAGGCTGTTGCAGTAATTAAATTCTCTAAGATGCAACAAGATACGTATATATGTGTGTATATGAATAATTAAACGCAGTTTGTTTTAAAATATTTTGTACAAAAGAATATTTTAAAATATTTATTCTTAAATTAAAAAAATAATTTAATAATTTTTATTTTGTGAATTTTTAATTTTTATTTTATTTGATAAATATTTTTACTAGCTACAATAGTTCTTTACACACGCATTTTTAAAGAGAATAATCATTCTGCATTTGCGCTAGATTTTCCAGTGAAAGGTATGATTCCAAAAGTAAATTTTGCGCAACATTTTAAAATGGGTTATTAAAATTGCACATATATGTATACACATAGTATTTCTGCATGTATATATTGTATGTGTATGTGTAATAGTGTAAAATGTCCAAATATATGTGAATGGTTTTGGGGGGAAAGGGGGCTAGATAAGTTATTTACTCGTATCTCTCAATATACAGATGCAATAATTCATTGTACTTTATTAAATCTGATCTAACTGAATAATATTCCAATCAAACCAGCTATCTATGGAAAATCAGCAAATTTTTTTCTTCCATATATGGGTAAAAAATAACAATATATATATTTATTATTTTAATCTTCAGAGAATTAATCGAATCATATCAGAAGTTTCATTTGGACAATGTGCATCTTCATCAACTGAATGCAGTACAATTGTTCTAAGAAACTCCATACTAAAAATAACATATTACTCACATTAAAATAAAGCAATACATATAAAAATGTTATAACGTTAGATTGCAAAAATTTTCCAACACTTTTTTGAAAGTGTTGGAATGGTGCAAGCAGTTTCTATAAAGAAGCCGATGTAGAGCACTCTATAAATTTTAATGATAATAATATAAAAAAAATTTAATATTTTCAATTCAGTTAATCTGAGTTTTATTACTTCCACCATCAGTAATATAGTATAATATTATTACTTGTAGTTTGCTATTCAGAGGAAGTCTGAAATTTAATGTCTTTTACTCTGATTGAACTCAACTATTCTTCAACTGATATAAGCTATATTGTTTTTCACACGAGTAATATATTATAGCATTATTATACGGTACACCATTCAACGGCTAGTCAAAGGAAGTATGAAATTTAAGGCAAAATTCCTCAGTTTCTTAATTTACTACTGCATAATTTTAGACTGCCTTTAAAAGATATTTATTTAAATGATTCCTAATCCGGGAATGATCTGGATAAAGGGAAAAATAATTTCTAGTGTCTTTTACGATAAGTATAAAGTCAAAATACATACTTTAAGTGAGATAGGTAAAATAACTTTCTCTTTATTCTGACATTGATTGCTTATTTATAATAATTTATGGTTAGGCGGGTTGAAGCGAACTATTGGAAATAATATTGACCGTAAAATCACAAGATTGCATCTCTAACATACTCAAGTACTCTCATTATTGCATTACAAGTGAAACCCTGTAAGGTTTACCTTAATTTCTCTGACAGTTAATTTTTAGTTTTTTTCCTGTCCTTTCTGAATTTCAGCTAACAACTTCCGGCCAGAACGTATTTTCAGAATCCCGGTCAAATGCAAATGAGGAGAAGTATTTAACTTTGAACTTTGAAGTTCTATTCACTTCGTGAAAGAGCCAGATATTCTGAGCAGCGCGCGAGCGCCTTTTTAGGCTTTTAGGCTACTCTCTCTTAAGATATTATTACTCTCGGCCGTACTTTAGGCCCTTGATAGCTTCGCCGTTAGTTAGCGTTAAAGACCCAACTCTGTTAGAATCTTGATATCTTCGGCTGTATCTTTTTATTTAAGTTTAGTTAAGTTTTAATTCCTAGTATTCCTGAGTTTAAGCCCAAGTGGAGGCTTTATCGCAAACTCCAAGAAAGGAGTCGTTCTGTTAAATTATTGTGAATAATAAATCGTATTCAACCCTTCGTAAGTTTACTTTTCTATCATTTTGAACTAAGCGATTATTTGCTTATCCAGTTCTCAACGTTCCAGACGCATTGCAGTTATATCTAGGTTTGGAATGTTACAACCTGAGCATTATGTAAAGGACAAATTAATTATATCCAAGATAATCATTCAGTAAACAAACAATTCTTAGAAGAAAATATATGATTATGCAAAATTTTATTTCGTATCAAAGTACACTTACATAGCCAGTACGTTTGAAGTGTTCCAAAAATTAGGACAGTTCTAAGTAAATTCTTTAATTTGCTTACCTTCATTTTTCTGTAGTGAACTTTTTTAATGTAACCATCATTTAATGGCATACTCTACCAAAACTGCATTTCAGGCTTTCTTCGCAAACCTTTTGAAATGTGCTAAAGTCTTTGCCAGTCGCAATGGTAATTTACGAAACCCCCTATATTATGCGTAAAAAACTGTCTATTAATATTGAATTCTAAGGGATAGTTAGTTGAGCACCTCAGTAGTTATCCAAGCATGATAGCACTGTTGTGTTAGTTATTTTTAAGAATGGAACTTCTAACACCAGAACTTTGGAAGAACGGAAGAACACTACACCACAGGCACGCAAATTTCTTTGTTTTGGTTTATTCTCTTATTTAACGAATAACCTGTTTTTTCATTTAATTTTTTGTTAAAATCTATGTACCACTTGTAAATGTTTTGCATCTATGCCTGTCTCTCAATCTAATTTAGAGACAAAGAACAATTTCTGACTTGGGATACGATATATTATTAGCTTTCAACGTTGCATATCCTGAAATATCATCAGCTTTGGAAGTATCATATACGGTTTTTTAGTTCAAGAAATAATAACGAATTCCGACGTATTCTCTGGATTTAATACGGTAAGATTTCTTATTACACAGGGTGGAGCAAAACTTTCTGCACATCAAGAACTAACGATTTTCTTTTTTATTGTACTTGATAAATTATTACCTTAGCCTACGTATGGAAACTTCAGGCCCACCTGGTATATTACTTTTTACAGTGGACAATGGATGCAGCCAAATATGTAATTGTGCATCTAAATTTATAAGAAATAGCTATCGTTGTCCTTTCCGTTATTAAGCTGTTGGAGAAGCCGCCTGTTGGATCGTTGGGCAAGGAAGACATGGATGTTTATGAACGTATAGTGTATTTGCGACTTAAAATCCACCGAGATGAATGCCTTCTCGAAAGGTTGATGGTAGAGGAAGAGCGGGAAAGAATTTTTGTATTCCGTTTCTCGAACATTTTCAATCAAAATCTGAACTGAGTCAGGTAAAAGTCGGGTTGTCCTTTACAAGGAGCCCAAGTGCTTGAGAAACGATAGATGATGCACTCTTTCTTTTAGATGTGATGATTTATGGACTAACCTTATTCAGATCAAGGAAATAATGACAACAGGTAACTTTCTTATTCATTAAGTTTTGATTTATGATTCAGTAGCTTCGTGCAGCTTTAATGAAATTTTATTTCATTTATATTCAGTAGAATCACTGTTCTATTACCTGAATTCATTTCTGAAGACTTTCTCTTAGCCAGATGTAAATCCCATAGGGCTGTTGAATAAGTGTAAGAAATTCATGCTAAATTTATTTAGTTTTTCCCCCACCCAAAAAAAAACTATCATAAGTTTCTCAGAATATGTTACATTCTGGTACGTAAAACTTTTTTTTAGTTAATTGGATTATTAAATGTTAAGTTAGCCTCATATTCTCAATATTATATGATAAATAAAGAGGGTTTTTAAAATTAGTAATGTTAAGATCATAGTTCTAATAACTAAAAGAAAATTAATTAAAAATAGCCCCTTTTAACGGTTTATCATTAATTGATTTAAAACTTTTCGAAAGCATTTACATTAAATTGCTTCATTTTACTTACAAAGAGAATATTCGTCTGTTTTGCTTTGCAGTTGAATGAAAGGAAGCTAACCATTGCGTATTCTTATGAAAACCATATGTTTTCATAAGAAGGCGCAGTTTTCATTTACGTAAACATTTCGTTAAAACATACATCGATTTTTAAAATTTCAATCAGTGAAGGATTTGGAAAGTGATTACGTAAAGTTTCTTTCATTGAGTACTGCAAATCGCACGAAGGCTATCAGCCTAAGGAAAGAGATGCTTTTATGCAGATCGTTTTTTTAAAGGCTCGTACTTACATTACACATGAGGAAAGACACAAAATCTGACCATGCATCGAACCCGTTTGCCGATATTCGATATTCGTCAAATTACAAGTTACGTAAAGTAAAAGACGAATTAGAGTCTAGGGATTACAAAGGAAAGAGAATGCTTCACTCATTCTTTGTTTAACATTGTCTCAACATTTTGCTTTCTTTTACAAAATCATACGGGCCATTTTTATGAATTACATATATTTGATAATTGGGAAAGTCAAGTCTCATTAACAATTTTAATTTTTGGTGTAGTAGCTATTAAAGAAAAGTGTATGGGATTTCTCATAAAAGACTTTAAATTATTTTATGATATGCTTAGGTTTAGAATTATTTTTCTTTGAGTCTTATTAGAAAACATTTTGCAATTTTATTTTAACATTCCACTCATTACGTTATCGCAAAGATCATAGACTATCATGATACTTACATTTATTATATAGTGATGAAACTATTAAATGATACGGCAAATTTAAAATACATAAAACTAACGTATATGATACAGAAATTATGTAAATGTAATATATAGTGTAAATAAAGTATAATAAGCATTAGAAAAACAAGGCATTGAGATTAAAATGATTAGACCGAAATAGCAGGTTAATCAAACTTAAATGTTTTGCTAGATATAATTTATAAAGTCATAAAAATTACTTTCATGAACTTCCTTCTGTTAGGAAGCTTATTTTGCTTTTCAGATATCTAAATTATATTGATATATAAGAAAATAAGTATTTTTGCGTATATTTTATTAGAACAATATGCTTGATAAATGTGGAATTCTGAAACTTTCAAATAAACTTACTTGTAGGATCTTGAGACGTCAGATACTGTTGGAAACTCGTGCATATGATTAACACCGACAGAAACCAATACTTCATGATTTATTCTGAAAATAAATGAAATATTTATTTCCTTTCAACTTAGCAATAAATTTTTTAATCTTAATTTATCTTGTCGTGAAACATATCAAGTGCTAAAAATCAATTAATGTACATTCTGAATTTATAAACTGAATTTATAAAGTAAATGATAATTTATTCTGAATATTTTTATGAAGTATATGCCATTTTCATGCATATAAAATTCAGTATTACGTCACATATTGCACAATGCGTACAAAAGCTTCTAGAGCCATCTCTTACGTATAGGAAAGTAACTACGCAGTAGAACAGTACTGCATTGCAGCTGTTCTATAAATTACACTACAGTTTGCATTAAATTAGTCAAAAAGTGATAAGACATGACTCTGTAGCAAACATACCTGCCTGAAAGCGCGTTCAATATGGTAAATGTTCACTACCTTTCTCGAGTCTTCTGTAAAAGATGTCTTCGAACGATAGAGAAGTGCCGCACAGTGAAGCCACACAAAAGTGTCACTTTCAGTGACGTAAAAGAAGGAGAGGAGTCCACAATTCTGCGCATTGGTTTATAGCGCATCACTGAAAATCAATTCCATGGACCAGATTTATCAGGACAGAATTCTTCCCATCCTCCGCTTGTAATTATGTTGGATAACATCATTAAATACATGTATATGAAATGATCTTCGTTACAGCCCTTTCTGTTGATATTAGCTCTTAAAATCTCAAGATGTATGACAATTGCTTTTAAGCCTCAATCCATAAAAGTAGATATTTATAAAAGTTATAGGTAGACCAGTGATATATATATATATATACATAAATCAATGCCGATTGTGCTATTCCGAATATATATTTTATTACGTTTGTTAAACATATATATATATATGTGTGTGTGTGTGTGTGTGTTTTATTTTAATGAGTTTTGATGAATTAATTCGTTATGAATTATTTCATTATTGAATTACTATTGTGAATTATTTCGTTATGAATTATTTCATTATTTCGTTGATATATTTTAATTTGTTGCTGTGGACATTTTCTTCCATATATTTAAAAAAAATCATGATAATAATCATCTATCTCACACAGACAACATTAGCTAAGCATGATATAGTTATACACAGTAGTAAAATCTGTTTTTGATCTTTTTATTAAAATATTTTGAACAAGAAGAAACTATCAGTTCAGACTGTATGCATATGGTAAAGCGAAAACTTAGTGTAGGTTTTAAAAATTTTAGGGGACTTCCATTACTTTCGCCAAATAAAAATGCCATTCTTTAAGGAAATATACAAAGTAGATATCTTTAAAAAAAATTTTAAACGTTAAATACTTGTTCCGTTTATTTGTAGTTACATTTAATCACGTCAAGGAAGTTATCATTTTCAATGATATCTACTAATACTTTCAACTAGTAAAGCAGACAGCATAGTTAAAATAAAGCGCAAATTCTTATCATATTAGTGTTATTAATACATAATAGTAATCATAATTAATAATTATAAATAGTAATAATAATTGACTTGCGATAAAAAGTCACTTATTCATTAATGCATTGTTTACGAAAGTTTTATTGCCAGAATTAGGGTAATTATATAACTATTCTAATTCTCTCAATAAAATTTTTCTTAATTCAATAATACCTTAATTCAGTAAAGTACCCCAAATTTTCAGTTTTACTCTCTTTGAGGTTACCGCAATCAACTATGATGACAGAATCTGAAAATATTAAATATTTGATATAAAGCATTAGGTTAGGTTTTTAATTAAGAATTCTGAACTATCATACATATGATTATTCATAATTCTTAATGATCTTAAGAAACTCTATGAAACACCTGACCTTGTGAGTTACATCAGATATTTATAATTGCAAATTAACATCAGAGAGAGAGAAAACTGAACAGTTAGGATGCTTTACGGAATGATATTATTGAGTTAGAATGCTGATAAAATCTCTATTTACGAGACTCATTACACATACCCTGCCGATTGTGCTATTCCGAATTTTTCGCTTTTTCAAAATTAAAAAATTTCTGAATTTTTAATTACTTTTTTCTTCAAGTTACGAGATTTGGTTTGAGAAACCAAGAACTTCGTGCACTCTTTTAACTCTAAATAGTGAGTAATAAAAGTGTGAAGTGTAAGTACTTAAAAGAGTGAAGTAATAAAAATCACGCAAATTTATAAAAATATATTCTTTTGTTTCATAGCTATTTTTTCTTAATCTTTTATTATTTTTTAAAGCTAATAGTATTTCTTTAGTATTTTTGAGAATTCCTATTAAAATATTTCTTCAGTGAGGCCAAACAACGCATTGCTTTATCTGCCAAATGAATTCTCTACACATACACAAAATTTCAGAAAACGAGAATTCCTCTCGCTTCGAGATGACATCAGTTTTGTGCAAAATAGTGGATTTTTCATTTCGAGATTCGAAGTTATTAACTGACGCCTCATAAATATTTATTTCTGTAGACAACGAATTTAAATCACTTTCGGTCATTCTTAGAGGCTTACAGTTCTATGGTACAAGGGATAAATCATTTCGTATGCAGTTGTTTCTTATAATAAAATTACTGCTACTGTAAAGCAATTAGTGGTCGTATTTGTTGTCGTTGTATTCCATCACACTGCATTTGAATGTCATAAGTACAGATTTCATTTCCAAATCCATCAATATCTCTTCCATATTTTATTTTAAATGTTAGAATTATTCCCATATCATGCGGCTCTTTAATTGTTCGATGAGAACATATAAATTCCGTATCCGGGAAATAATAATTTGCCAGATATCGCCACGAATTGTACTAATATATACACCATAAACTGAGTAAATATAAATCAAGACCGTTCTCTTTTTCTGAGACTATATGTCCTACTTTACCTCATAAGTATTTACTCTTTCTCTTAACTCTTTTTATTTTGCACATAAGAAGTACATATCAGTTATATTTAATATCATTGAAAAATATCTTGCTCGAGACGAAGGAAGACCTCGTCAGCTTGTCTTATGAAATGCATATACATTTCCCTTGAAATTCTATATTTTTCTCCGCTATCTGTTTTTATAAATTTTAAGGCTTGTTCTCAATAGAAAAGTGGCACTAATCGGTTCTACCGATTTCATTTCGACTTGCAACTAATTTGGTAATAAATAGAATCCTGTTAAAATTATTTCTTTCTAAATATATTTAAATGGCTTTCAACTATCTACTAATTAACGTAAATAATTCTGCAAGAGCTTATAAGAATTATAAAAGTAAAATAAATGTATTACTCTTTATCTCGGTTTGAGAACAACAGATTCGCGTATTGCTCCTCTTTCTGTTGTTTACAAGCAGCATAAAGTAAAAACTACAAAAATAACTTTAGCTTTGTGAAAATGAGGTTTTTATTGAGGATTCATACAATTGTGAGGTAAGCAATTCTCCGCTATTATCTCAAAATATATATTAATACAATAAATGTTTTAATCTACCAGAAAATTTATTTTAAAGTTGTGCTACTTATGATTTAAATTTTATTAACAGGTAGCTTTGTGTTGATTGTCTTTCCTGTTTGCCTTATTTCATCGCGTACTCAGTCAATCCAGAGATTATGCAAATTATTAGGCAAGTAACGTAGGTTAAAACTGGGATGAAATCATAACCGGTAGTTCAGAGGTAAAATTCTCGATTACTGGTGTTGCTGCTTGCCTACAGAGGTGCCCATCACAATAGGTTGTGAACGCCTGATGCTTGTCAATG